GTATGGGATGACCTAAAATTCAACAGCAGTTCTCAGACTTGAAACAGAAATTAGAGGAGGTTACTGAGGAGGAGTGGCTGAATATTCCTGAGGTTGGGAATGCCAGGAACAAGTGGCAGAGGAATCCTTGTCATGAGAACCTGATTCCTGTCCCCAGCAGCTTCTTTGCAAAGCACTTGCAGTCAGGGGAGAATCACACTTCTGTGGACTCATGCCAGACACAATTTGGTGGACTGAATACTCTGTATCCAGGGGGTCTGAATACTCCATACCCAGGAGCGTATGGAGTCCCGGGCTTGATGTGACCTGGGACAGGTGGATTGGATATAAGGAAGATTGGCCAAGCCAGGAACACCTTGATGGATATGAGGCTAAGCCAGGTGTTTGACTGTGAGTGGCCAGACGGTAGTGGACCCAAAAGGATATTTGACAGGCTTGAATTCCATGATTCCCACACATGGAGAAGATACCAATAATATCAAAAAAGCCTGTTTGCTCCTGAAATCTGTCCGAGAGACCAATCCTTATCATCCACCAGCCTGGATAGCATCAGCCTGACTGGAGGAGGACATAGGCAAATTCCAAGTTGCTCGAAACCTCATCATGAAAGGAACAGAGAGATGTGCCCTAGGAGTGAAGATGTTTGGTTGGAAGCTGCTCTGCTTCAGCCTGGAGATACGGCCAAAGCTGTGCAGCACCTGCCACAACCTGTGCGGATCTATAAGAGAGCAGCAGAGCTGGAGACAGACATCCATGCCAAGAAATGTATCCTTAGGAAAGCTCTTGAGCATGTTCCAAACTCAGTGTGTTTGTGGAAAGCAGCCGTGGGGCTGGAGGATGCCAGGATCATGCTGAGCGGGCTGTGGAGTGCTATCCAACCAGCATTGAACAGTGGCTGGCACTGGCAAGGCTGGAGATGTATGAGAACACTCATAAACTCCTTAACAAAGCCCAGGAGAATATCCTGATGGATTGTCACATCTGGATTACTGCTACCTAACTGGAGGAAGCCAATGGAAATACCCAGATGGTGGAGAAAATCATTACTTAGGGAAATCCCTTAGGGTTAACAGTGTGGAAATCAACAGGCAGCAGTGGATCCAGAATGCCGAGGAATGTGATAAAGCTGGAAGTGTGGCCACATGCCAGGCAATCATGAGAGCTGGGATTGGAATTGGGATTGAGGAAGAAGATCAGAAACACACCTGGATGGAAGATGCAGACAGCTGTGTTGCTCATAATGCCCTGGAGTGTGCCCGAACCATTCATGCCTATTCCTTGCAAGTCTTCCTGAGCAAGAAGAGTGTGTGACTGTGAGCAGCCTGCTTTGAAAAGAACCATGGAACCAGAGAATCCTTGGAGGATCTTTTGCAAAGAGCTGTTGCTCACTGTCCCAAAGCAGAGGTGCTGTTGCTCATGGGAGCCAAATCCAAGTGGCTGGCAGGAGACGTGCCAGCAGCCAGAAGCATCTTGGCCCTGGCTTTCCAGGCCAACCACAACAGTGAGGAGATCTGGCTGGCTGCCATGAAGCTCAAGTCAGAGAACAATGACTATGGAAGAGAGAGGAGGCTGCTGGCAAAGGCTTGAAGCAGTGCCCCCACAGCGAGGGGCTGAAGTCTGTGAAGTTGGAATGGGTGATGGAAACATTGCTGCAGCCCAGGAGCTCTGTGAGGAAGCCCTGAAGAATTATGAGGACTTCCCCAAACTGTGGGTGATGAAAGGACAAATTGAAGAACAAAAAGAGCTGGTAGAGAAAGCACAGGAAGCTTATAATCAAGGGCTGAAGAAGTGCCCCCATTCCATACCCCTGTGGCTTTTGCTGTCCAGGCTGGAGGAGAAAGTTGGGCAGCAGACTAGAGCAAGAGCCATCTTGGAAAAGTCTCACCTGAACACTCCAAAGAATCCAGATCTCTGGTTGGAGTCTGTGCACTTGGAGTACCGAGCTGGGCTGAAGAACATTGCTAACACTCTGATGGCCAAGGCACTGGAAGAGTGCCCTAATTCAGGAATCCTGTGGTCAGAAGCAATTTTCCTTGAAGTATGACTGCAATGGAAGACCAAGAGTGTGGATGCTTTCAAGAAGTGTGAACATGGCCCACGTCCTGCTGGCTATGGCCAAACTGTTCTGGAGTGAGTGTAAAATAACCAAGGCCGGAGAATGGTTCCACCGCACAGTGAAGATGGACTCTGACCTGGGGGATGTCTGTGCCTTCTTTTACAAATTTGAGGTCCAGCATGGCACAGGGAACAAAAAGAAGAGGTGAGAAAATGCTGTGAGAATGCTGAACCTCGCTACAGAGAGCTCTGATGTGATGTCTCCAAGAACATAGAGAACTGGCAGAAAAAAACTGGAGAGATTCTTGTGCTTCTGGCAGCCAAGCTGAAAAATACCTTCTAGAGCGTGTTGGCCTCAGCTGCCTCAGAGGTCCCTGTAGGACTTAACCTGCATGTGGTGCAACTGTCCTTTCAGTGACACAGACTTTGAAGGACAGTGTAGGTTTCTTTGCTTTTATACCTTTTTACTTACAGAATTTTTTCCCTAAGTTGCTAGGACTAACAACTGGGTACTTGAGAAAAGCAGGGTACTTAAGAAAAAAGTGGCCAAGCTCAGGGGAGGAGGGCATCTGGTTGCACTTCTCTTATCCGGGAGTTTATCTTCTAAGGGGAAAGAGAATTGGGCAGGTAAAGGACGGGGTTGGGACAGCTCCTGGCTCTCTCTCTGGGCTTTGGAGGAGGATGGTCGAAGCCGCTGCTTGGGGAAGGGGATTTGCTGCTGCCACCAGAGCCCAGCCCGGAGCTGCTTCTCCCGCCGTGGGGTGAACCTCTGCTTGTGAGAGCAGCCACTGAACTGGGACCTTATTAACACTCACGTCACTAAAAGAGGAACCTATCCCCGTCTGTTCGGGTGGCCAGGATCTTGGGCTCACCCCTCTGTGGGAGCTGGGCTGATGCTACCCCGCTCCGGCCGCTTCTTCGGCGCTGCTCCGAGCTTTTGCTGCACTGGAGCCCCGCACCTCCTGCCTGCCCACATGTCTCACGGATCCAGCCACAGCTCTGGAGCTTCTGATACATCTTGCTACACCCTGGGATTTTTGCTCATTCCTGCCGTTCCAGCTTGCTGTTTCCGTGAGTCCTGCAAGGGCGCTGGGATCGATGTCCCGGGGGGTTTGTGAAGCGAAGCCTCTCCCCCATCCCTTCCCGCCTGGGCCGAGCCGCCATTACCGCGTGTGGGCCCAGCCCGCGGCACAGCGCCCCCTGCCGGCCCGGGAGCGGTCACTGGGCCTGCTCTGTTCGGTGAGTGCCAGAGCCGCTGCTGTTGTTTGCTTTATTATACATACTAGTAAATAACTGCTATTCCTGTCCCCATGTCTTGACCTGAGAGCCCCTTAATTTCAAAATTATAGTAATTCAGAGGGACGTTTCTGCCTTCCTTAGCTGACACCTGTTTTTCAAACCAAGACAAACAGGACATGGATGATGATAGGAAAGCGCTTTCTCCCAAAAAGGAAAAGCTGCTTCATTCTTTCACCAGCATGGCCATCAGCCTCTTTAGCACATGGGAACATTGTAGCTGGTGTCACATAAGAGACAGGAGCAGTCTTGTGAGGCTCTGTTGGCATTTCCATGTTGATTCCCAATTCCCCCCTGCAAACACAAGCTTTAATTAGCACTTGTGTGGATTCTGACATGTGGCAGTCCCTCTGTTCTTGGCCACGGCATGTGTTCCATGTCCCCCTTTAGTGTTTGGCCCATCTGATGTTGGTTCCTTGTCAGCAGTTCTGGGTTGTTGCTGTTGGAATGCAGTGTCCTAGAAGGAGATGGGTGGAGTTTTGGCAGCAGCCTGGCAGCACAGGCAAAGGTCTGGGGTGGCTCCTCTTCTTCAGGTGTTTTTGTTTGGTCTCTGCTAACAAGCTGCTGCACAGCTTGGAGGTGTTCCTCCAACCTGAGCAGCTGGAGCATTTTGTCAAATTTAAAAGCATATTTTCAGAGAACTTTTCCTCAATTTTTAAATGTATAGAGTAAAGCTTATTCTTTTAAGTGTCTTGAGTTCATTAAGCACAGTGGTGATTTAAAGTAACCAGGCAAAACTCAGCAATCCCTGAAAAGCCCTTTTGAAGGAAGAACATTTATTTAGAGTTGCTTAAGAGATTGTGCTGTTACACAGCTGTGACTGCCTGTGGCTGGGAGGTTTGGGATGGCTCCCTTCAAGTGCAGATAGAAAAAAGCAAACTCAAGAGAGGGAAAGCTTTTTGTTTGGGACCCTTTGTACACTGTCTTCAATTTTCTACACTTGTGATGTGTACTATTTTTATCCCGACATACGGACTTTCTTGTGATTATAGAATGAGAAGCTGCACTGTCTTGCACCTGAAGTTATAGCAGCTGTATCCAGGTCTGTGGATGTGCACTATCCTATGTATTTAGTTGGAGGAGAAACTCCCTTATTACTTGGAGAATGTGTAAAATACAGCCTTTTTTTGTTTGTTTCCTAAAAAAAAAATAAAATTAAAAAAATAAAATATCAAACTCATCATAGCTGGTGTCATTCAAATCTCCATCATCATCATCTGTTATCTGGTTCTTCTTCATCTGGTTCCCCACATTCTCTTGACCAGGGCTGTCCACGGGGTCGTTGGCATGGCAGGCAGGGCCAATATCAGAGCAGGTGGTGAAACCAGTGGCTCCATGGCCCAGCCCTGGCACGTAGCCCAGAGGTGCCGGCGTGCCCAGGAACAGCTGCGGCTTCTTCTTTTTCATGGCGGCAGTGGCAAGGTGAGACTGAAGTGGGACCGGAGCAGAACCAGGAAAGGTGGCCGGGAAAGGAGAGCAGGAGCTAATTCCCTTCCCCACGTAGCAGCTCAGACCATCCTTCTCCTCAGCTAGCAGCTGCCCAGTCTTTTACCTGCCCAATTCTCAGAGTATCTCTGCCCCTCGGAGAGAGACTCCCAGATAAGAGAAGTGCAACCAGATGCCCTCCTCCCCTGAGTTTGGCCACTTCTTTTTGTTTTTCTGAAGTACCCAGTCTTAAGTGCTTCCTAGCAACTTATGGGAAAAAATTCTGCAAGTAAAAAGGAACAAAAGCAAAGAAACTTAACCCCCAACAGCAGCAAAACAGGTAATTTATCAGTACACAGTGCAAAGAAGCTTTTAAAAATAAGCAGAGAAAACATAAGCCTGGGAAGCCTCAGCCTACTGAAAAAATGCATGATTATGAAAAAGAGCAGAAATTGCTTCTCTCATCCATTTAAAGGTGTCCAGGCCCAGATTCTGCAAAGCACACAGGTTTTACTCCATTTTAACTCGGCAATATCCCGAAGGCAGGCCAGCTTGAGGCACATGCTCACCATCTAGGCTTTTGCTTTCCTGAACTGGGCCTGAACAATATAAAAATGAGACAGTGTTAAGGACCTTTTGGTAACCCAGAATTCTTTCTCATCCCACACTTCCACCAGCAGAATGACGCTGCAGCCAGCTTGGCTCAGCTGCTTTCCCTAAAATAACTAGGGAGAGCTGACAATGAGACGAAGAGCCTGTGGGAGCAGGCAAAGGCACAGCTATGGATTCCTGGGCTGCCCTGTGTAGGGACAGGGGTTTACCCTGCTCAGGCTTCCCTTCAAAGCATTTTTTGAGCCAACCTGTCAGCCCAGTTAACACACTCCAAGGATCAGAGGAGATCCCATCTCAGATGGGACCTCAGCACCTCTGAAAAGCCAAACCCTAGGTCAGCACACAAGTCCTCTGGACGGTTGGGAAATACAAAATTCAGTCTTTGCTGGTTTTATATGGAACAGGCAATTCTGCAATCGACAAAAAACCAAACCAAGCCATAAGTCCCCATCCCAAGTGCTTTCACTAACACCTAACTCTGCCTTACCCAATGTCCTGGGGTGACTTTATGATGCTTGTATCCCCAATTGCCTGTTCTGTTTATGCAGGATATTAGGTTTTGCACCTCTAAGACTGGTTCCAAGAGTGAAGGGGGGCAAAGAAGGCACAGTTTGTTTGCAGAAACTGCACTTGCTCCTCCACATTCTGCTCCTGGACTGTGTTGTCTGCAGCACAGACAGTGCGACAGAGCTCTCCTTTGCTTTTAGTTAGGTTTTAGCTAGCTGAGGCAGTAAAGTTCCTTGGACTGTGGCTTTTCCTTGTCTTGAAACTGTTCAAAATTGCTTTGGACCGAAATCTCAGAAGAACACTGAGAGCTCATATGTGTGGCCCACCAGAGCCAGGATGCTGGATTCCAGCGCCGGAGGGACTGAGAGACACACAGCGAGCTGAGCTATACCCCACGGAAAAGACTTTCTGAAGTTGCCATCTCTTTGGAACAACAAAAGGTTTTATTGTTTGGTATTGTTCATTTTTTATGTTTGTGGGTGCTTTGCTTGTTAAATAAACAGGTTTTTTCCACTTTTCTCCAAGGAAATCTTTTCCCGAACAAGTTGGGGGAATTTGCCCTAAACCAGGACACCCCTCCTGACTAACAAAGGGCACGTGCAACCCATGGCTGCCTTTGGAAGAGTTCAAGGGATCCCAAAGAGACCAAAATAGCAGCAATTTTGGCAAGAACACACACAGCACACATTGCAAGTGAGAGGGGATAAATTGAAGTACCACAACCCAAATACAACTATTTGTGAGCCCACTTGCCCTTAATAAAGAAGGAAGGGGGAGAAGTTGTTCTGGGCTCCTCTGGTGTGACATGCATGAGGCCTGGCTACAACCAACACTGGATTTCATCTTGGCTATTTGGCTTCTGTACATTGGCAATGATCCCCTGGGGAGCTGAAGAAAGCATTACAGAACTGCCCTCCCTTGGGTATCAGGGTGAAGCAAGGGGTGCACTTAAGCCTCTGGAGTGGGAGAGCGAGCCCTGGTGTCCCAGGATGGCGGAACTATGAGCCCTTTCAGTGACCTGGTGTCTCTGAACTCGGGGCCTTTCTCTCCTTCAGGCTGCACCTGTTTGACAAGAGCACCTGAATCAGGTGTCCCAGGACTTTATTTTCTGAAAGTCATATACAAATTTGGAAACAGTAAATTGTCAAAGATTGCCCTCAAGACAGGTGCCCTTTCCACAGGCAGAGCACAGCTCCATGCTCTCAGTTCCCTGCGGTACCCTCTGTACTGCCATACCTCCTACAATGGGAAGAAAAACCCATCCTCTGCTGCCACCATCATTGTTTCTGCTGCAGCTCACACAGGTGTGATATGCACAAAAGAAGAAAATTTAGGTGAGTTTGTGGGACACCCATGTGGACTGTTCAGCTTGGGCTCAGGTGTCTGTATCACGATGAAGCACATCTACTAATGGGGTGTGTCTTCCAGGTATCTACCACACATTTGACACCAGATATTTAACAACCACCATAATCACAAGGGATTCTGACTTAAAGCTTTGAAAACCTCTTCTCTTCCCTGTTACCCAAACGTGGTCAGAAGGTCTCAGTATCACCCTCCAAGCAGAACAAGCTGGTAAGAACTTGGCTGCATGGCTCATTTTCTTCACTATCCCAAATATGCAGGCACTTCTACTTCAGTTGAACTGGCCATCAAAAACATGGGAAGAAAACCCAACTCAAGCCTGGGCAAAACTGCAACTCACACCAGCTCTGGCTGATGACAAGGAGATTATTACAGCATTTCTCTAGAGCAACAGAAGATGCTGGACTCCAAACAGGTCAAAAGTCTGAGCAAATCTTTACTACAAGTGAACAGTCTTGGTGCTGCCTGACCTGTGCCTTAACATGAGATTGGTCAGAGCACTTGTCTGTTCAACTCAAGTAGAAGCTATTTGATGATTTCATTACTATTAATCCTATTTTGCCTCTTGCTATAATATCCTGGAGAAAAAGAAAGAACAGCATGGCTGGCTTTGATATTCTAAATGTTATAGGATCTGTAAGCAAATCAATACAGTAGGATCCCTTCAGTGCAGTCACTGAGCGCAGTGTTGTGTCTCCTACACTGGCAAACTCCATTTTGGGCATCAGGCCTGGAGAAAGAGTGGGCAACAACAAATGTAGAGAGTGACAGAAATCCACCTTTCCTCCCTCTCCCACCTCCGGCAATGACCCTTCAGTTCCCAGGGAGCTCCTCAGCTCTCCCAGTCAGGCTCCTGCTGCATCCACTTCATGCATTTGTCCATTTGGTGCTCTCTCCTCTTTGTTTATTGGCAAAAACAATCTCCTCCGTTACATGATCTTGGAGCTAATATCTCTCTTACTGATCAGGACTTCCAGCAGCCTCAGTTTGGCCTTAACCTGCTTGTATTCATTGTACTCTTCAGCCATGGGAGTGCGGTCTTCTTTCTGCACATTCCTAGTGGGAATGAAAGCAGACCATAAAGATTTCTGTAACAGGAAGCCTCTCTCAGCAGTTTCCCTCTGTCCACCAACAAGACCTACAAAGCTGCTCCTTTCCTCCACTCCTGATTCGGTAGCAAGACCAAAACATTTATCCTTTAAAAGAAAAAAAACTAAAAAACAAAGCAAAAAAAAAAAAAAGGGCAAACAAACTGCTCCAACAAAGTGTGGGATTTGTGTGCTGAGGCTGAGCACAACCCCACAGTTCCAAATGCAAAATCCTACTTGAAACATACCTTGCTTCTCTGAAATCACCAGCTCTGAAAACAGCTAGAAAACACTTCAGGAGCCATCTGAGTGTCAGCCTGTGAGCCTGGCAAAATAAAATACAGCCTCCCCAGGCTTGGCACCATAGCACTTGCACTAATATGCACTCTCACAAAAAGGAAGATAGTATTTGATCAGATTGCTCCTGGCTTGCAGCGATTTTGCAAAAGGTCCTAAGGATGATGGCTGGTGGCAAGAAACAGACAAGATACTTTAAGGGTATAAATATATGAAAACATTCCATCAGCTCGTTAATGAGGGGCATTTTCTTAAAACAGTAAAACCAGTTACACTAAAGCAGAAATACTTGATAAAACTAGTGTCTGAATACCTCACAGACAAGCAAGAATAGGACAGAAATCACTTGGAAAAAACTAGTTATTTTAACACTGAATAACTCTTCCACCATTCTGAATGTGGGTAAAGCAATGATAATGATTATGAAGAAGAAATACATAATACTGAATTCAGGTAACTTTGCGTATTTGGAGATCTTTGGTGATGCAAAACAGATTAAAAGTAGCTGAAGAACAGAGGGGCAGCTGGGAAATTGTTACCTTCCATTTTGTCGGAAAAAGTTATCTTCAAAGTCTCTCAATTTTTTTCTGATTCGCTTTTTCTCTTCCCTGACTTCTTGGAGCTGCTCTAACAGTTCAGGGCTGTTGGGTTTAAAGATAAATGAGATTATCCACACGTATGCAATAAAAACAGAAAACATACAGTAAACCTACAGATGTTTAGTTGTATGTATGCCAAGCAATGGAGCTGCTCCTGGTGAGCAGCTTCACATTACTTGAAACAAAAAGCTCTCTGAATTTAGTTCAGCAAAATGATCATATTCTTAAGCTGCAGCCTCTAAGGATGTCAAGTGTGCACTTCACAATTTACCACAAACTTCTGTGAAATTTATCTCCTGCAGGTGGGTCTGGGTTTGGTGACTTTTATAGGATCAAATTCATTGGTCACAACTTACCACCCACATGTGTTTGCACCAGGCTTGAAACTAGCAAAAGCTAGTTCCATTTGACCTCTCCAAAACATGAAAAACCTTCTGGAGTGCAGGGTTTACATGCTAAAGGCTTGCCACTGGTGGAGTTACTATTTAGTGATGGAATCCAAAGGTGCTTAAACTAAGTATCAGTATTAGGACAAGGTAGTTTCTTCCCAAACCCTTTCCTATGAGGGTGTATTGCATTTAAAAATGAAACATGAAAACTTCTGGCTCAGATCATAAATAGAAAAAAACCCTAGACACTTTTCTGACAAATAAAATGCTATCTCAGCAAGAAATAATTTTTTGCAGTTGCCTGTGAATTCAACATACATGGATGCTTCATGGAGATTTGAAAGCCCCATATCCTGACTGCTCCTAGACGGCATCTTATCATCCACGGGGGAAACAAAGCCATCAGCATCATCTTCTAGTTGATCCAAGAAGCTGCGCACGCTGAAATCTGTTTTTATGGTGATGGTGAGATCTGGCTTCACATTGCTGTCCTCCTCAGACCCCTCCTCTTCTTCCTACACACAGGGACAGAGCACCCCCACAACAAGACAGGTTATTGCTTTCCTTCTCAGGAACAGGCTCCTCCTCTCACCACATGCACTCAGGAACAAGAAGTGGAAAGGCAGAGCAAACACTTCAATTGCCAAGCAATACACAGGACACCAGAAGGCCACCAGTAAGACACCCTAGAACCAAAGCATGACAGAGAAATTGCCACCACAAACTCAGATTGGTTAAGGAGACCCAGAGCGACACAACTGAGTGAAAAAATACCCGGGGTTCAGAGCAAGCTGTTGCTTTGTTTAGTTTATGTATTCTGACATAAATGAACCCATTTACAGCTGTTACACATATTGTCCAAAGCACACCAGCCATCCTCTGCATTTCCCTGCAAAAATTTCCCAGCACAGAGACTGCCAGGTTAAAACGTGGAATTTTCTCTCAAAAGATGCAGCTCAACAGCTCTCTCTAATGGCTGAATTCAAGACCTCAAATGCTCATACAGTGATACCAGTGAGCTCAGATGAGTCTTACAATTACCCAAATGTGGGATATGATTGACTGTAAAGGGACTGCTCTGCTGCTAATATGTTCAAACATCAGCTCTGACCATTTTGCTGAAATATACTAAAAATTGGACTGGAAGCTCTGCACAGTGCAATTCCCCATTTCCTCAATGCACACTGATGAATTGGTTGTGTTCCAATTTTTTTACAAAATTTATAGGCAAGAGATTTGGAAGTCCCTACTGCACTTGGCATTCATCAGTTCACTGTGCTCTCAAAATAGGGCTTATCCTGTGACACTGTCCAGAAATAATTTTAATTATCAAGGAATGAGACCCAGTCTCTTATGTACGGAGACATTTCTAGAAGGCAGTTTTCAGCCTTAATATAAGGAATGAGGCTACTTAAAGAAAGCAGCAAATGCCAGCATGGACAGTAAATCTCTCAAATATGTACGTATGCATGTGTGTGTAAATGCATTTATTTTACAGCCATGTAATTCTAGCCAGGAAGGATCTAAGCACATGAATATCTTTCAAAGCTTTTGGGGGCTAATATCACTGAAGTCTTCAAGACAAAAATATATTGTATCATTGGGATCAAAAGCAGATGTTTTCTTGGTTTGTTTTTTCATGTAATTCCTCGTGAATAGTTCAGTTATTCCAAGAGACTGCTCCCATATTTCAAGCAAAAAGGAAGAAAGTAACACCAGGACCTGGCTTAGTCCCATTAAACCCTCAGTGATTTATAAATGCATACATTTAAATTAAATTATAGTTTGCCCAGAGTTTTCTTTTTAAGTTAAAGCGCTAGGCCATGATGATACATTGCAATGCCACAGGCTGAGAATTACAACCAAGACTGAGGGTGAAAAAAGCATTATCTGGGAAGAAGTTTTGAGTAGCAATAATAACAAAAGATATAGAAAAGTTTGAATGCATCTTAGGAAAATCTGCAGGGAACTTGTGGAAGCTGAAGCAGTATTTAGCACATGATTAGACAAGACCCATTTCTCCAGACATCAATTGTACAGTTTAAACAGAAAGCACAAACCAGCAGCCATGTACTGTTCTTAAACCCTGCCAACAACTCCTGGCTGAACTGGGGAAGGGAGACCATCTTTCATGGCCATTTCCCTGTCCCCAGGTGTGCCACCTTGCCCAGACTGGGAAGGGCTGCAGCAGGAGAACATGAATCCTCCTTTGCCATGGAGGAGGATTTGCTAAGTCAGTCTAAGCAGTACAAGCAGCACACTTTGCTTTAGAGGAATCTCTCTGACAACAAAGGAGGAGCTCCCATGCCCTTTTCTGGGAGAGCTCCTGGAAAGAAAGTAAAGGGACAATGTCTATAAGCAGTGTGACAAAGCTGCTCCTGAGGAGAGATGCAAGGTGTTTCCCTCTCAGACACCTATGAGCCTGTCCTGCCTCACTGCAGACACCAGCACACTGCCCAAGCCAGCAAGCAGCTCAGGAGCCTCCTGCCACAGGAGGCCACAGGAAGAAAAGAAAGTGTAGAAATTTCATTTAGACCTCAGAGCCAAGACACTGCATCTGATTGTCACAAGACCTCTGAAATAATTTTGCTCTTAAATACAAAAGGATTCTTAGCTCTTAAATATAAGAGGATTTTTAGCTAGAGCTCCAACAGAAAAGGCCCTCTAAGGCCTTCCCTTTAAAAAGTCTCACATAGGAACCTCACTTTAAACCTGCAGTGACATTTACACCTTGAAACAGAATGATCTTCATACATGAGATTCATTTAGCATGCCCCTGCTTGGATTGTTAGGCAATCATGAGGCATTCCAAAGTTAAAAATGTCAAATCCCCAGAGTATCCTATCATCGGCACTCCCACAAAGCAAGAATCCTAATGATTTTCTCTACACAACATTCAAGATATTGTACCAAAATGTTTGGTAAGGTCAACTCAAAACACCTTTCAACTCTCCCAACTGCTTGAAGAAAAACTCACCCCAAAACACACAAATACTGACATTGTCAGCCGCCTGTCGAATATTCCCCTGCCCACAGACCTATGCAGGAGCTAAGTTTTGGGGTCTTTTGCCAACTTCCTCACTTTACTTCTGAATGTAGTTCAGTACAAAGCTGCTAGATGCAGCTTCACAGAGCCCCACTTAAGTGTTAATAGGCACATCATGTTAACAGGCTTAGGGCTGTCATCCTGATCTTCTGTCAGAAACCCCTCCAGGTTTGTATTCCCTGCAAGACACTGCTGAACTGGTTTAGTGCTGTCCTGGCACAGCACCAGCTCCTGCTGACCATCAGAGATCACCATAACTGACAGCACTAAGTTCTCACACTGGGTGCAAGCAAAGGTGGAAAAAAGCAAAGACATACTAAAAGAAAAAAAAAAACAGAAGCAAACAAAACCACTCCCCACCAGACCAGTACTGCAGATTTGATCCAGCAGTTATCTAGAAAATACTAAGAAGCTCAGTGATCATTAACCAGCTTCCAAACAGCAGCTTAACATCTTCAGTCTGCAATCTGGTATTAAAGAATATGTGCCTCGAATAGTCCATTAATATACAATCCACTGGACTCAATCACCTTGGATCTCTAAGTCTGCAGTATTTACATTTAGCCAAGCTCTGGCTGGATAACAGAAATATGACCCAAATATGCTGAAGCACTTCTCTCCCTTGTTACCCTGCAAGGGCACAGAAAGCAAGCCAGGGCCCAGCTCCATGCTGCATGTCCTGGTCTGCTGCTGGACTTTATTCCTCAAGGGAAGGCCGAGTATCACAGTCATCTTCCCCACCCCAAATTATTACTCCACAGCAGCACAAGAAACACAACAATCCTGCCATCCAAATCTGACCAAGTATCAACCAGCAGAACCAAGCTGTTCTTACTTCTGTCCTCATTAAGTTAAAAACACCCTGCACACAAGGTGGTGAAAAGGAGCCTGGATAAAATAAGTGGAGGGGAGCAGGTAAGGATCCTGTGAGTGCCCCATCTTGCTCCACGTGCGAGGGTTAGTTTTGTGAGAGCTCATTCCTGCCACGGTGCTGTGTGCAAGCCACAGAGCCTGGGCGTGAGAGAAACTACTGCAAAACAAGTTAGTGCCTTTTAAAAGGAAGGAGGAAAACAAGAAAAAAAGCAAGGTACAGGGGTAACTGCGATTTAATTTTTTTTTTTTTTAAAGCAAAATAAAATATATTATGTGCACATGGAGGGGAAAGTAGAAGGACAGAAAAGAATGCAAAGCCAAGGAAACACTGCAGTCTTATCTACAATAAGGGAAGAATTTGATAAGAATTGGCGAGGCTTAAAGCAGCTACTGATTTTTCAGGAGGACACTGCAAAAAAATCAACACTGATGAAAAAAAAAAATCAATCAACCATTCTGCTTCATTGGTATATGGGGAAAGTTGATGCAGACTGAGCAATTAGTTAGCAGCTGGAGGTCTTCACCTTTATCTCCTTGAAGAAGGAAGCTGTTTCGCCCTCGATAATTGGCTGCAGCAAAGGGCTTCTCCGCTTGCTGGAGGGGGAACCCTGTGACAGGTGTTAACAAGTATGTTACATTGTGAACCCCTTTCTCCTCCACCACCTGCTTCAGCTCATTCTCACCCACACATTCACTCTCAGCTCATCGCTGGACCACCAGGAGAAATATCTTTCTCAAGGAAGAAAAACAGGCCTGATAAACCCCCTGAACCTCGGGCTGTTTTCTCTCAGGATGTTGCTTAGCAAAGGACACCACTGCCAATCTGTTTATAAAAAGAAACCTGGATGATTATTAGCTGGGTAGTGACTGCAAGGCAAAGGCTGCAACAAACTAATCCCCAGCCCGAGGCCCATGCACACACAGAGCATTTGGCTGGCTCTCCAGAGCTACAGGGTGAAGCTCAGCCAGCCTCTCCAGATTTGCTTTCCAGGAGCCTGATTTCCCACTGAAGTTCCTGCTGATGAAGAGATGGATTTTCAAATATATCCTGTCTCTCTATGAACCTCTCACTATTCTCACTCAGAAGACTGGGAAATAAGCCAGTCTCAGCTCTCCTCTGCTAGCCTCTGTGGATTTTCAGTTTTATGTCTTAACAGGACCTGGGGTCCCTTTGACAGCTTTGCATTAAACTGCCCATGCACACCTACACAGCTTCCCCCTCAGTTGCCAGCACTGTCTTCGCAGCACACATTTTGGGGACTATTTTGCATATTCGAGGAGGAACAGCTTTTTATTTTGTTTTAAATGCAGGACCGGGAACACCTCCCAGGATCTGCAGAAAAAAGCCCCACTCCTCAGTGACACTACACTGGGTAATGCTGTGCTAGCCCGCTCACTTCACTGGCAGTCTACAGAATGTGGGCAGGACACAAGCACTGCTCAGGAAAAGCAAAAAAAGTTCATACATGAACAGGAACTTTGATAAAAGAACTCTCTTTCCATAGACAGGCTTGAAGTATTCTGTGTGTGTTTTTTACATTAATTAATTTTAAAAAACTGGACTACACAAGTTATCTGAAATTTAAGACAGTGAATTTTCTCCACAGAAATCAGAGGGGTGTATTGGGTTTCTTGCTGGTGGCAAAGCACCACCTCGAAAGAGGGAATATCCACCACGTAAGAGGATCTCTTTAATACAAATTACGTATTAGAAGACTGAGGGCCCTTTCTTTCAGCCAAGGACACGCCTGGCATCTCCTGTGGGATCTACTCAAGTCTGTGTTCCTGTGTACAGGAGCGCTGTACATACAACCCTGTGGAACCAAGCAGCATGGAAGACCTACAGCTCAGCGTGGGTTGGTATGGAAAAAGAAGTGAGGCTGTAGCCAAACAGAGGATGGATGAAATAACAGCAGCAGCCCAATGGAAAGAGAAGAAACAATACAAGGTGAGATGTGCCCCATGGCTCACAGGTGGGCACTTAAGTCCCTTGACCAGCTTTGCCCAACTTCACTATGAAGTGTGTCATTGATTCACTCATTTGCTTGATCTTTGAGTGATGAGGGAGGTTGGGACTTAGCCTTAGTGATTGTGTTGTACGCAAAAGTGTGGTGATTCCTGCTTCCTCAGCTTGAAACCAAAAAAACAGCCCGCAAAAGAATGCTCTACTCACAATAATAGGGATGGTGTTGGCTCTGGAGAGGATCTGTTTGACCAAGCGATACCTGTCATACAATGGCTTCATCACCTGCCGTTCATTTTTGGTAACCTGAAAAGAAAAAAGAGGAGACATCCATTAATCCTGCAACAAGTACTCCGCTCTAGAACTCATGTTCCTGTGATCACACTTAGTCTGAGGGGCTTGAAGAGACTTGTATGGGGATGACAGGAGAGCAGCATTAGCCCTGAAATGCCTGTCCATCGCTGCATCGCCTGTGCCTGGTGCCAGCTGAAGATGTGTGGGGTGTCTTGTAAAGGGGCTGTAAGAGATAGATGGTTTAAATGACCAGTTAGGGATCAGAATTCCACAGCACAAAATGACCTGCAGAGGCAGCACTCTGTGCTTGCAGTCACATTGGCCACTGTAAGCACAAGGTGAGCTGTCCCATCCTTGTTCTTGTGGCTGGCCCTCAATAGCAATGCTCGTGACTCATGAGAAGAGAAAGAAACTGCACTGACTGGATGTTGCAGTGTGAGGAGACTTCCTTTGAGTGCAGTAAACTACAGATTTCACAAAAGCTAACTTTCTGACTTTGCTATTCCTCCTAATTTCCTGTACAAGGCTGCAGTTTTCCCTCTTTTTAGCCCCTAACCTTGCCCTCCATCCCTCCTCACAGCCACTTGCTGGGAAGGATTCACTGCAATGCTTGGAAAGGGTGAAGGTGCCAGGGCTGTGTGGCACAGATAAGAGAGATCAGTGCTGTGATGTCCACCTCAGGTGTTCCTTATATTGCTCTGTCCCTAACTCCACTCCTCCTTACTACTTGTTGTGCTCCCTCTTCAGCTTTGAGAGCATTACAAACTGAGTGTGTTCATTTCTGGGGTTTTTTCAGATTCAAGGTGGGTTTTATTTCTTCAGTGCTTTCTTACAGCACATTAGAAAACAAAAAAAATCCTAAGCAAAACCTGATCATCATTCAGCACTGTCTGACCCACATCCTATAAGTGTCCTTCCATTAGATCTTTTGTCTAACTTTAGATTATAAAGCTCTTATGAGGAAGCTTTAACTGATGTCATGCCTTTCTGCTTGCTGCTAATCACCAGAGCACCTGAACAACTGCCATATTAAAAATCAGCATCAACAGCGTAACCCCTAGGGAGCTTTGTGCAGGCTCTCCTTCTACAACAGAAACAGGAGAAAAGGGAATACAGCTTAAGACAGGGAGGCAATTTTAAACTGCCTTTTACTTTGTCTGCAGTTGACTTTCACTGGCATAATCTTTCTAAAGCTTTTACATCCTCCCTCCAGAGAAAGAGATGGTTTTGGCTTGTGAGGGGCAGAAAGGCTTTAAGTATTTCCAGGAGTGTAATGGCAGGGATGAACTCTAAGAATCTGGAGGTAGCATCCATCTTCCTCCTGAAAACCAAGCCTATGTTCCCTATGTTGAGGGAAGATGAACAGGAGGAAAAGGAGGAAGATCTTTATTCCTTTCCCGGTTCAATCCAAATATGCCCAGGCCTGATAAAGGGCATACAGATGGGCAGTCCTGAGCTCTGGGGCCAGAATATCCCACACCCCCAAAGCGCAGCAGGGCTCCAATTCCTGACAACCTTAAGCTGCCTGTTCATTGAGTAAGCAGCTCACATGGATTAGAGGGATGTGGGCAGCATCAAACAATTCACTCAGTCCTCTTTGTGTTGAGTTTTGTGCTGATGTGCCTGCACTCAATTGCACCAGCTAGCAAGTTGCCTCCAACTTTGGACATTTCTCTGTAATCCATCCGGAATACAACTAGAGAAATTGGGTAACATAAATATATATATAATATTATTCCTAGCTTTACAAGATTAGCAGTTTGTGGAACAGGAGGTACAGCACTACTGTTGGCTCAGACAGTCTATTACTTAAAAAAAAAAACCCAAGACTATGATAAGGCTTATGTTGAGGCTGAGAATCAAACCTTCAATTAACAACATTTCAAAGCTGATTAACAGTACTGTTCTGTACTGAAAAATAAACATAAGCTTTGGAATGGGTACAAAGTTCTTAGGTATGCTGAAGAATGGAAAAGTTAAACAACATCCTTCAGTGTCTGAATATCAGTGTGGAGGAGCAACACAGAGAATTAATATAGGCATTGGAAGATAAGTGTACGGAGTCTGAGCCTGCCCTGCAGCTCATTTACACCAGCAAACTTTACAGAAAGCATATTCTGAAAGTAAATGCTTAGTACATGGGCACACTGTCTCATTAGGTAAACATAAGTATGACCAGTAAAACCTGAGTATATTTTGGGAGAACATCAAAATGCAAAGAGACTGTTTGAGTAATGGAGCCTTTGACACAACTCTGGGGCACACTCCACATGGCAAAAGAGCAGCAGCTGAGAACAGACCATTGCTTGCATTGTTAGAGCAGCTCAAGAATTTCTGTAGAGACAGACTTCTGGCTTTACTAAAACAGTTCAGTTCCACCTTTGCAGGTTCATCTATCACTGGTGCAGAAAGACCCAGCTGCACAATAAATCTGAGCTCCATTGTTTTTCTTGTTTAGTTAAGTATCTTTAATGACAAAAAAAAAAACCCCAAAAAAAAACCTTGGCTGAACTATCCACATTCTCCTCAAGCTCTCAGTACTTTTCCACTGCTGCACTGCCAGGAGCTGGGAACAGCAAAAGCTGATCAGTCTTCCTTGCCATGCAGTTCAGTGTTGCTAGGTATAGACAGCTTACTTAAAAACAAAACAAATTAAAAAGCAGTTGTATAAATGAAGCATTGGAAAAGGTAGGTGGAAATAAATGTACGCTGACAAGATAGGCTCTGGGCTTGTTATCTTTTTGAACAGATTGAAGCGAGTTCACTTCAATAAGATGCCAACTGTTGATTTATATAATTGTAAAAGCGGCAAAAAAAGACTTGGTCTCACAGAGAACACAGGGAAGGTTAAGTGGATTCCCTTGTGCTGCCTTTTTTCTATTTTACACAATAAATCTGCCTGTCCTCTCACGTAACTATGCCATTTTCAGCTGCTAATACAGTTGTGACTGTACAATATTAGCACTCCATGAAGGCCTTTAAATAAATTAGTGAAACTTTTTAAAAGAATGGATAAAGATATAATTGGGAAGGAAAAGACCAGGAATCTCATGCAGCAGCAGAATGACAGGTTTGTGAGCTGCACCAATCAAATACTCCTTATAAGCAGTAATTTGCTGCTCCCAAGACATTGCTTAGAGGATTAGCAGCACTCAAAGTTATTTTACCTATACAGCTGGTCACAAAGATTATAATATCATCAGTGAAAGAGACAGAGGGACTCATAAAAAGCCAACTTCATGGCCTGGAAGTTGGTGTGTTTCTGCCACAGCAGGCAAAACTTAATTCTCTGTCTTCACAAATAAGTTGGCCTTGTTAAAATCAAATGTATAACAAACCTTATACCACTGCTAACAGAAAACTGCAAACTTCCTGGCTGGATGGGGGACCATCCCATGCAGACTGTCCACTGGGCCACGAATTGGATGTCTGTGGAACCTGATGAGCACAATGCCAAAATAATGCCCGCTCAGCCTGTAGGCTCTGTCCTGCAGGTGTCTGTCCAGCCCAGTGCTGTGAAAGGACACCACCCTGCCTGGAACAGACTCCTCAGCAGCTGCGGAAGTGAAGGATCAGGGAGGTGGATTAGAGGGTGCACGTGTGGTTTGGAGAACAAGAAGTTCTAGTGACTTGACATCAAAGGGGCATTAGGGGCATCATTTACCACAGACAAAGACATAGAAAGATGTACTTAGATAAAAAAAAAATGCAAAAAATGCTGCAGTACATACCGGTCTGCCATGAATGCCTTCATAATACAGCAAAGCTTTTTGAAGAGCCACTTTTTCAGCTGCTATCTGATCTCGCGTCATGTCCTATGAAAAGTGGCACAGAGAGAGGGAAAGGAAGACAAAAAGTCAGATTCCTGGACTCAAAAAATACTGATCTGTGCCATAACCAAAGTCATGTCATACCATCTTTACATTTTAAAGATTCATCTCTACCTTCCAGTTGTCTTTTCCCAGCTACATTGCCAAAGAGACTGTTCATGTGAGTGAGTAGAGCCCTATCAATGCAGAAAGATTAAACACACAAACTCTGCATATGAAGGTATTTTATGTAGCTAAAACAGATTATAAGTGTGCTTTGAAAAAACAACACTATGCAACTTTTAATGATGGTTGATCTTTTTCAGTTAAGATCTGAAATGTAAATTCTACAAGAGAACACATGTCCTTTCTTCTTCTCCAAATCCAAGACAAACTCCAGTACCTTTGCTTTGACTGTCACAAACACACTTTACCAAGAACTGAAGTGCAGTCAGATTGTCTTTCTGCCAGCTCTGCTATGGAGTGAAAAGCTGTAGCAGACAAGAGGGGACAAAGCCAAAAAAAAAACAAAAAGAGGGAAGACAGAGAAGACTTCTCTAATTAAGTTGGCCAAAATTCCCCCACTCAATTTGCCTGATACCAAGCCTTTTCTCCTTATCACAGCACCAAATACTATCACAGTCCCTCTGTAAGTGGCCAGGCTATGGATTCTTGCTACAGTCAGAAAATAGTCAAAACATGAACTGTATGTTTTCCTTCTGCAGATGTAGCAAACAAAGATAATGCTGTCTGCCTCACTCTCATATAGCACTACACAATTTACATGTCAGCAGACTCAAGGACTTAATTTACAAGGCTGCCCAAACGTCAGGAGCTCACAACATCAGACATGAAGATCTCCCTGCTGATAACCCTCAGATTACAGCAGCTAACAGAACTCAGTGTGAAACTCTAAAGGTTAGCAGTAACACACCCTGAGAGAATAACATTCAGTTTTGGAGTGAACAAGAAGCAAACAGATGACACAACCTCCAGAAGCACTGGAAGACTCAGAATTTGACAAAAACCTTTGTATGTAACAGAAACAGGCAAACACATGGCAGGAAAAAATGGCAAAAATTCAGAAACATTACCAGGAATATGCAAGGGTCAGACAAAGAACACAAAATTACATACAATAGAAACTGAGCTCTGAGAAAAATATCAAGATACTAAAGGCAGAGGGAAAGGAACCAAAGCAAGTGAGCCCAGACTAAAGGCTGCAGACTTTTTAACAAAATGTAGAAGACCACAACTTTCACAAATGACTGTGCAGCCACAAGTAACCTACTTGCACTTAAAGGCCTAAATCTGACCTGTCTACATTGTACCTTAATGTCTTCAGGTCGATTTGTCTCTGCTCGTTTCTCTTGAAGTTTCTTCTGGATGGAGTCAAGGGTCACTTCCACGGCAGGCTTGGCAGATTTATCTGACAGGTCTTGCTTCTTGTCATCCTCCTTCTCCAGCTGAGAGCCGAAGCTCTTGGGGAGCGTGTTGCTGCGCTGACGCACAACGGGGCCAAGGTCTTCCTCCGATATCTTCAGTTTTGACTCTGAACAGGGAAGGATGAGCAATTTTTCATTTTTAAAATATGACAGTGTCAGGATCACTGCCTCACATCAAATCTAAATGAGGCAGAGTCTAGCTACCCCTCAAAGGTGCACCAGTGGCAGCTGCTCACCTTTAAGTTGCTTTCGGAATTTGGCCAAATCATTTGTCCATTTGAGCACTTCAGGGTTGGCTGCTTTGTCACTGTGGGAAGGCTGTGAGGAAAGAAAAGCCATGCTGAATGTGTTAAACCACCAGGAGCAATTCACTGAAACAAGTGTGTGGCACAAAGGGGTACAATGGAATTTGGACCCAGCACAGAGCACAGGCACTGGATTCTGACTGGCAGCTGCGCACCTGTGACTGACCAGCTCATTTCAGACCTTGCTTTAATTGCTCCTGCCTGTCACAACACTCTGTCTTAGGGGCATGATGAAATGGATTTTCATTTTAAAAACACAAAATATTTGATGCCAATGATTAAGTTGTAGGAGTGACTCAGAGGGCCGGATGCACATTGGAATCCTTGTGTCTATTGTTTCCTAACAAGAGAGTATCTCTAAAATAGAGGACACTTAGCATGAACAGTTGGAGAAGTGTTATGACACATATATCCACACCAAAGGCTGCCTTACATCCAAAGACATCAAATAACCCAAATTCTAGGCTACAGCAAGCTCTGAGCAATTTTTTCAGCCTTTCCTACTGCAGGCAAGATCTTTCCAGTACAATTCTTTGCCATTTAGATAGCCAAAGATGCACACATGCAAAGCTGTGTATTTTTTACAAAGCTTTCTGTGCATCAGAAGGGCATGTCAGAACAATTAAGAGTCCAGTACACTGCTGCTGCTCAGCAGCACTTGACTGTGGTTCCTTGCTCAGGAGTGAAGGCAGCTGCTCTCTCTCCTCTGCCATGCACAGGTGTCCTGGGATTACCATCATGCAAATGAAATCAGCAACTCTGCTTCCCATATGCTGAAGTTAAATAAACAAACAGAAGTTGAGCACAGCTATTCCTACACACTGTCTTAATCAGTGGTCAAAATCCTATGAGTTCATTAGCCTTCCTCTCTTGTGCTGCATGGATATCGTGTAATACCTGGAGAGGTAATTTGCTCAGTGTGTATACATATTTCTGGGGCTGCAGCAGCAGGTCTTCTGCCTTTTTTTTCCTTTCCTCATTATAAAAGCTTTCAAGCCTTCAAGTATGTTTTGCATATTTCCCTGGTGTCTCTCTGTATGCTTGACTCACTTCCCTGGTGCCCCTTCCCTTTGCTGCTAAGGCATACATCTCCACATCAATTCTTATCTCCTAGAGACTCACTCTGTATTTCCTCTCCTCTTCGAATTTGTCCTCAAATCTTCTGATCTTTTTCTTCAACCCCTGAATCCTCCGGGTGAGCTGTGCAGGGGTAAGGTCTTCTCTGTCGTCTTCATAAGATCCTAAAGACGAACTCCGTCTCCTGCCAAGAGCAGAGATTGCAGGAAGAGCTTATCCTAACAGCCACAGTACATCTTGATGCAGAGAAGGCCACTTCAACTTTGTGTGAATAAAGGCAAGGCTCACAAAAGTGAAAATGCTACCTGTCATCTGCAATGACAGACAGAAAGAGATGCTCTAACAGCCTCTTTCAGCAAGTCCCCAGATACTAATGCACAAACCCAGAAATTATTACCTACAAGGAACTTTTTTAAAAATGTCAGTTCCCTGTGAGTAGGGCCAGAAACCCAGCGCAGCACAGCCGATCTGAAGAGATGCTGCTTGATGCAACTGTGCAAACCCTTTGCAGCTGCATGTGAAAGTCAGCACTGGCAAATCACAACCCACCTCATGAAGGAATGAGAATTGGGAGGAGAAGGAGGCACTTCTGTATCATCCAGGTACTGTTGGCTCTGTCCATAGGCATAGAAGCGAGGGGACAGCATGGGATCGCTGTCCTCATCCAGAAGCTGGCGAATCAAGCGCCCGGCCTGCGGGGAAAGGCGAGCCTCATCTGAGTCTAAGCTGTCTCGCTGCCATGAGGAGAGAGCAGGGATGGGCTCTGGGAACAGTAAGACAAAAGCTGGTTTTATCAGGTTTGTTTTATACATAAGACAGACTCCAAGTAACTTTCTAATGAATCTTGACCTGCTTGTCCTGGACTGTGACTCTTGTCACCAAGCATTCTCTGGTCACTACTCCCATCTGACCCGTGTGCAAAGCATCACAAAGCCTGGCCACAGCAGGTAACCTACACAAATATAAGTAATCTCTTAGATGAAATCAAAAACTACCCAAAAGCTGACCAGGAACTACCACAGACTGACACCAAATGAGGCAATCACCAGCTAGCACCTTTGAGGAAAGAGTTATGCTAAACAGAGAGCATTACTGGTACGTGGTCTACAGAAGAGGCAATTGGACTCCAGAGGAATTTTTTTCAGTTTCAGGATGTGCAAATGCTGTAAATGAATAGTGTATTAACGGTTCTCCTATAGGCCCCAGCACTCCAATGCAACCCTGTTGCCTGCTATTGGAAATTCAAAGCCTAGGAATAAGAACAGGTTCTTCTAATCTGCAAGCAAAAGGTGCCTCACACTAGGGTGCTTAGCCCACATACGAACAATTATAGTAATATGGTCTAAGTTTCCCCTTTTCCCTTTCACACGCAATCCCGCTGCTTACAGCATGGTAGAAAAAATGGAGGAAATCTTCAGCCCCCTGGACAACCTAACCAGCCAGAAGTAAAAGCAATGTTGTACAGGGAGGTGGTGGAGTGGGAGAGAAAGGGAAACCCAATTTAGCACTGCTGATTAGCATAATAGAGCCCACAGAAAGCAGTCGCCTCAATCTTGTGATCACTCCCTCCAGATGCCATAAGGAGTCTAACATTTTGTGTTCAGATAGTTTACTAAGCTGATTTGCATGCTCCTACTTAAACCGTCTAATCCTGTGGTGCTAAGAGCCAGGCTTTGAACTTCTAAATCTAACAAATAGTTCTAGAGTCAAGTAACAAAACAAAAACCTTACAGAAAGCTCCCAGACCAGTCGCAGAGCTACGGACTAATTGTTTCCTGTGCCTAGTGTGTCTATTCTTCATTCACAAAGAGAGTGGGCTTTTGAAGTTATCAGTTTATGAATAAAAAGCAGTGTTTCCTTTTGCTGAACACCGTTAACATTTCCACAGCTCAGAGTGGATTGCATGAGGATTCCCCTGCAGAACCTCTGTGCTGTTTAACATTCCCCCTCTGTACAATTCGGGCAGTGCAAGATCATCGCCGATGCAGCAGTGATGGGCTCAGTGCTGTTTCGCCTGTGCACATCTTCAAAATGATGCTCTCCTCCTTTTGCCTTCTTCCTTAGCACACGGATACAAATGGCACACCTCTGCTTAGAGGCTGGTGCTGCATGCACACTGATGTGCTACCCTGAAAGGGGTGACAGGAGGTTTTTGCACAAGCTTTTTGCATAAGAGCCCCTGGAAGGTGTAGTGCTAAGAGAAGCACATAGATGGGGTGTGCAAGCACCAAGTGTATGCAGGCTGTTTTGCCATGGTTTGGAAAGCTTATGTAGCCTGAACTTCCTTCGGGTAATTTCTGAAAAAAGAGCTTTTCTAAGCTCTGTTCAGCCTTGGCCTTTTCTAATACGTGAAATATTTTGCATCCACTTGCCTGAATCTCTCATGATTTTAGGAAGGGTCTTACAAGATTTTTTGTAGCAAAACAAAGGGTAATACAAAAGGAAAAAAAAAAAAGAATATATTTGACCAGCAGGAACAAGAGTTAAATGATGTATGAAATTCGTCTAGACATCTCTCACTTCTCATTTTTGAATACTTCTCACCCGCAAACCGAATTTCCTCTTGGAAATTGTTATATCACACCTCTATGGGATTTACATAGATGGAATAAACTTAGAAAAAATCAGGCATATTTAGCAGTAACTAAATTAAGCTCCTACCACACCAGCTAACAAAGCCATTGTTAGTCATGCATGATGCATGTGGCTTTGTCCAAGGTGGATTTAAAACCAGATAGCATGCGACGTCCAGGGAATTGCAATGGCTCAAAGAGCCTCTGATCAAACCCCAAAAGACAGCAAAGCACTTTATGTAACCTAATTGAGACTGAGGTGTGTCTACTTTCTACTTTTTTGATTTCAAAATACTCCCCCAAAACTGAAACTCCCATTCTAAAGAAGAAAGTGTTAAAAAGGAGAAGAAAAAAAAGTCCTAAAAGGAAAAATCAAATTTGAGGCTTGACAGAAGAAATGGCTGCTATCAAAAATCAGCTTTCTTTAACCCTTGCTCCTGGAAGGCCTGACTCTTTGGGTAATTTTGTTTCCCTTGCTGACCATCTACATTTAGAAAACAAAATCTCAACTAGATACAAAATGGTTAGACTCCTGAGAGCAACACAGCAATTCATCAAGGAACATATTTAGATATGTACAATTACAGATTTCACCTACATCAGATCACTAAGTGGACTGGAGCTGCAGTCCAACTGCCTTCTGTCTCCTGCTAGCCAGATGCCAGGCCCTTCAGCTGGAAGCACTGGAATTGCTGGATCACACAAACATACAGGAACCCACTAAGGGTAAGGTGCTGCTTTTTCTGACAGTTCACAATCAATTAATTTCTCTTTAACAGGATCCATAATATCCTTTGTTATTCATTTAGCCAAGATAGCTATCAAAGCACAAAGAGGCTGCTGAACTCCTGGACTGAATGGTTTTCATCTGCTATGAAGTCCAGTTTTAAAGCATCCACTATCATGATTAATGCTGTCAACCTTTCCCCTTTCTGCTAACTGAAGAACAAAATCTCAGTAGAGATTGTAAACATTTCACCTTTTCTTTGCCATTGACTTGACAGAGCGGTTACACTTGCTCCTCTTCTGTCCTGAACAGATCTCTCCTGCTCAGGGAAAACCCTTGGTTTTCTACTCATCTCCACATTCATTCAATATACTATTTTTCCACCCATTTTCCAGAATGATAACTTTTAATGAAGGAGAAAAAAAAAAAAAAAAAAAAAAGAAGGCGGGTAATATTTAGCCACCATGGCTGTACCAGTGCAGAAAAAGGATGAAAAAAAAATTAATGCCTTGGTCAGACTCTCTAGGCATTTCTTTCAGGCCTGCCTTTTCTAAGCTGGCGCAGAAGCAATGAACTGTGTGCTGGTAGTGAGTCTGCAGTCCTTCAGAAGTGCTGCTCTCCCTCTCAAAATCCCACAACCAGCTCATCTTTCAACAAAGCTGTCAGCCATCTGCCAGGCGTGGCTCTGCAGAGCTCCACAGGCACACAGAGCATCGCCTATGGCAGTACAACCTCTCTGCCAACCTGCTGCACAGAGAGAGGGCTGGAGATTTTAATAAACCTGAACCATTAAGTGCTTCACACGACAAGAAAGATTTATTGTATCAAACTGCTGTATTGTTGGTGAGCTCCAAGCCATCTTGCTGACAAAACCTGTCTTGTTTTTTTATCACTACATTGTATATTTGCCACAGGGCTACTGGGGGGTGCAGGGCCAACAGGGGGGTGTCTACACACAAATACCACTTGAGGTGCAGCCAACAAAACGCCACAGGCATCTCCTGTTTGCCTCTCTGCAGCCACACAGCTCATACATGCTGCTAACACTGCTTTTACACACACCCATCTGTCAAACAAACAAGGCCAAATCTTAGCTACTGTAAATTGAAGTAGGTCCAGAGAGATTAAAAAGTCTAAACTCATTACAACACCTGAGGTGCTAGTATCAAATGCCATTTGAAAGACTCCAGAAAGATCTCTCATAATGAAATGAATAAAGAAATTTAAAACACCATCCAAAGCATTCACTAGCTCAGTAACAACCTATTTTCTTCATCTTATAAATAACTACGAAAATATCTTTGTTTGAATACAGCAGGCATTCTTCCTACATAGATCAAAAGAATAGCCCAAATACAGTGCTACCACACCTTTTCACTTGGTGAGATGACAGACCTCTCAGCTAGCAAGCAAACTTTGTATTTTGTTTATAGCATGTCATAACAATCAAAAATACAATTTTAATATTTTGATGCTATTCAGTAAACAATGCAATTTTTTTCGATACTTAGTAATAAAAATAGAAGGTGCCTCATCCCCTTTTGATTTCTTATGCTAAAGAGTGTTACACACTGATGGAGCAAATGGAAATACACTGATCAAGCTAAGTCCAGTGTTAAAAAAAAAGAAAACTAAATTCAGCTTCCCATCTGCTTATACTGTATGGATTTTTATGCATTACTTTGGGTTTTTTTCCATGGGAAAGTATCAATTAAGTCAGTGTCAAAACTATTTGTAGATCAGCTTTACCCTCAGGGTCTCAAGAGCTGCAATACTTGAACTCAATTTGTGTTTTTAACTTCTGCTTTTTTTTTTAAAGCTTGAAGAAAAATGCCAGCTGATTGTATCCTAAGTGCCTGTTACTGCAAACTGTGCTTGAAATCTCAGCTACTGAACTTTTAAAAAAGTCAGTAATCAGGTGACATCAGCAGCAATCACACCTCATATTGATTTACTGAGCTGCCTGCTCAGCCCAATCTGCTGACAAGGCCAGCCGCTGCTATGGAGAGCAACATACTTCCAGATTTTCCTTGAGGACAGGATAACAAGTTCTGGGCTTGAATTAGAAACATTTGGTGAGAAATCTGCACAATAGTGCTGGCCTGTGAGAGAACACTCTGTTCTCCTCAGTCACTGCACCCGATTCAAACGTAATCCACAACAATTAGAAACCTTAGCTGTGGAAGCAGCTCTCAACATGCCTGCTCCCAAAGCCATCCCCGCTGGCACGCACTGCCCAGCTTTGCAGGCAAACCCAGCATTCAGACGTGACATCCCAGCTCACGGGGACGGCTTGGCCCACATCCAGGGCAGTAAAAACTCCCTGATCCACACCTGCCAAATGCACACCAGGAAAATACTGCTGGGCCATGGGAAATGCAATGAGGCAAGGAGTTCAGCACTTGAATTTTGCTGGGGCACTGCTCGTGCCCTGAGCGCTGCGTCAATAGCCTGATGATTCCTACACAAGCCTCTATACTTAGCAGGTGAGTGGGATGCAGAAGGCGGGCACATGGCAAAGTGTGAGGCTATGCATTTCAGGGAGAAAATGTCTCTGTCCTCTCTGTGCTCAGCTTTAGGTTAAAAGAACACAGCCTGGAGAAGTACAGCAAATCTCTCCTTGTGTACAGATTTGACTATGAGGTGAAAGTTATGGGAAAAAAATCTGGTAGAAATTACTTCTAGTGTAACATGAAGAGCACAAGGCCCTGCCAGCAGTTATCATAGTTCTGTGTCCCTGAATTAGGGCTTTTAAGGCAGCTCTGCTCTTTAAACGATGGAGAGCCTGCCTGAGTGACAAACAAAAGCCAGCCAATGGACAAGGTTGTCTTGTGTAATTTTGTGCCCATTGTTGAAGGCTCTTTCCTAATATTTGACTGGAAGCAGTGACAGCTACAGCTGAAGGCAAGTCCTCAACCTGTAATTGTTCTCACAAGTCACTGTGCAAAGTCCCAGCAGTTGCCCTGGTCACTAGAGATGGTCTGTATTTCCTACAGTATGACACAGAGGACCATAACCCCCAAACATTCGTTCAACTATGTCCTGAAAGAATGGGTAATTCCCCAAAAGATGGACCTACCAAACTGGCTAGAGCAAAGCAATAAACAGCTCAGTGTTAGGGCATTTGAAGGCACAATCCTTTCTCTTTTCTGTTGGGGATGCAACCAGAGCTGTGGCCATGGATCCTGCAGAGATGTGTGAAGGTTTGAGTGACTTGGGGTGGCTGGTAGGGAAAGGGAGGATGTTCTGGTTGCTAGAGGTGTGGATGGGTGGTACAACCCTGCCCTGCAAAGCCAGTATCAACAACAGACTCTGCTGTTAGCTACAGAAACAGTCTGAGAATTGATAAGATATTCCTCTTCCTGGCTGCTGTAAGCTTGATTCCATATCCACAGCTAGAAAAGACTCAGTGTCTCCTTGCTAAGACACAGAAGGAACCATTTTGCTGCTGTTCATCCACACCAACAAAATGGTGATTCTGGAAGGCACACATTTCAGAAGATGATATCTCTCTCACCCCAGACAGCTGATTCTTTTGCAACTGCCCACCTCCTCCTCCTGCAAAATACACGTGAACAGAAGGGAGGAAGGAGCAATCGGAGAGAAGCACAGTCACATGTGCCTATAATCCTGTCTCATATTTGCAGGGAAAGGAAGCTAGAATCCAAACATAAGAGCATGCCTATTAAGAGGGAGTTGTACCAAAGAAGCAACTTATTTCATACAGTGGGAAAGCCTCTGGCTGACAGAAAGGAGCTGTGTTCTCTCCTTCATGCGTTCATACGACTCCTATTAGTAATGCAGGAAGGAAAAAAATAAAGTCATTATTTTCTAAGGTTCACAGGACAGCTGAAGCCACACATGACCTCTGAGAACGCAGACGTGCGCACCCTGGCCTGAGACCCTGCAGGGCTCTGCTAATTGGCCCCTCGGTAAACATCCAGCAGCCAGGGCCGCCTGGGAGCCCTTCGGTGGCGCTTTGATCAGCCGTGCCGCACGCGTGGTGATTCCACCCAGGGAATCCCCACCTAGCAAGCAAATGGAAAAATTCCCTCCTGTGCACAGTGTCTGCTGGCCTGGCTGAATCAAAGGCAGCCATAGCTGCGGGTTTTCTTTACTCTCACCTGAAGCGTCATAACTACTCACCTCCTAGAGGGAAAGGCAAAACATACTAGGTCACGTACGCTGTGGAGGCAGGAGCAGAGAACTTCCCTCCTCAGTGTTCCTCAGAGATTGTTATTTTAGAGCAATGAATTAGTTGCACATTTTCCTTCTCTTGCTTTATTAAAACACCACACTTGTGTTTTCCTGCATCTTCCCTATCAAAACCCATCTTTCACTACTAAAGCATAAACTCACAGAAGAACTCCGCCTTGTACACAGACACATACTCTGTAACTAAAAAGGGTTTGATCCCAAAACTACTGGATGCCTTCATTTCATCACAATTTCAAATTAAATTAAGGTCAGGGCACCTGCAGAGTTTGCCCAGATTCCCACTGTTAAACGAGTAAGTGTATAGCCAACCAAGCATGTACTCTGGAGAGCTAAGAAATAGTATTAAAGTGGTTTATATGACAGACAATCAGTTTAACACTGCCATTTAAGCTGGTGATCAGAATTCCTTCACAGCATACACAAAAAAACAGTTGTTTGTGAGACAAAGTAACAGACAGACAGCATTTTTTATCAGCTGTGCTCTTCAGGTGTGAATCATTATTTCCGAACAGTGACTGAAGAAAAGTTTTTTTTAGACTGTGAAATATCCAGTTGCTTTGAAGCATAGGGCAGTCTAGCTTAATTACCCATAGATCAGCCACTAAGAAATAAGGTATCTTGAAACCCTCAGGGACTTAACAGTACTAAACAGAACACGAAAGTAACTTCAAGAATAAAACATTTCATTTTCCACCTCTAAAGTGCCAATTAGAGTTAGTACTATTCAGTATTTGCTTCCAGTTTCTCCAAACTTTCAGTTCTACATTCAGGACAGAATCACTTTTCTGTTGTTTTTAGCAAGAGAACACGGTCACATAAAGATACACCCAGCCCACTCAGGTTTCCCTCTCTCTCATTTCACTCACACAACCAGCCATCACACAATCCTACCTTCCCAGTTGTTGTCATCACACAGTGATGTTAAATCCAGCCGAGGCACTTCAGATACAAAGCTGTTTTCTTGATCATCAGCATCTTGATTTCTTTGTAACTTGTTTTCAGGCATGCTTGGATGTTCTTGAATCTTCATACTTGAAGTCAGCTATGTTCCCATACGCCCAAGGAAATGAGAAAAAGGAAAAAAAAATGTTTCAGGATGCAGAGGAGGGGGAAAAAAACCCTGCAAGTCACAGGAGCAGTAAGCTCATGCCTTTAGCTAAAAAGATCCAAACAGACCCTGATGTTTCCAGCTTCAAATCCAAATCCCTTGCTTGGTGACCCCTGTGTACTAATTGCTCACTCACACCAGAAAAAACATCCGTCCATCTGCCTTCCTTGAATTTTTCCCTCTTTAGAAAGCCACTGCAAGTTCCCGAGACTGCCTGCCCTGACAACTGCATGCAGCTGAGAAAGCCTCCAGTAGTGGATTGGGATGAAATGGGAGGGAGGGAAGCAGGGAGGCAGGGAGAAAGGGAGAGGGAGGGGGGTGGCTGCGTACACTTCCTACAGGAGCGCAACTCCTTCGAGCAACAACAAAAAACGCTGCTGCTGCTGCTGTGAGGCTGTAGCAATATGGTGCCTTCTAAAAAACAGGCACCAGAGCTCCTGAGGCAGCAGCCGCAGCCAGCCAGCAGCGCAGACTACGTACATGAATGCTCTCATGCAGGCTGTGCTGGCTCAGATCAATTAGTGCCAGCTAAGCTGTGCTGGCTGCACATTCCCCGATTTCCTGTGGTTGTTTTCTAGCTGGGCGTGGGGAGAGCAGAACTATTTATGGAGGAGCTCTGGGTATTAAAGCGGTGTTGCGCAAATCCAAATGGCAGTAGGGTTTGGCATCTCAGCTGGAAGCAGTGTGGACTCTGGGAAAACGCCAAAAAATTCACACAAGCATCCAGTAACAGGAATAAAAAAACCAAGAAAAGCAGAATTCTGTCAAGTACATGATTCATCAGCTAGTACTACCTAGAAGCAAGTGCTGTTTGTCTCAGCACTGTTCCCCCCTGCACATAGCACACGTCGTGTGCATTTGTGCAGAAATCCCTGCCATTCCCACAATCCAGAGACACAGTGCGCGTGTCTGTGACAGCGCCTGATGAGAGCGCTTCTGTCACTCCAAAATAAATTAGCTGTAATGCCTCACAGAGGGCAGTAGGGAAAAGGAAGTGTAATGCATGTACATAAACATGTAGCGTGATATGTATAAGCCCACCAACAAACACAGAGCTAGATGAATAGGCAGGATTATGTTACTGCATAAACTATTTGGATTTGTTAAGAACAGCTTAGGCATAATTCTCTCAAATATAGTCTAGTGGGCAGTCAGCATGAAGATTTTCCCTCTGCAGGTATTTAGAAAATCTAGTAAACAATCGGCATATACCGATATGGGAAGAAAATGGGCCAAAAGAAAATAGCCAGTATTTCTGGACCTACTTTCCCTGTGAATCCAAAAGCCAAATGCTTCAATATCCTTAGCATATGCCACTAAGGCGTGTTTACTTTTTTCATCTGCAGAAAGCTAATGATGTGTTTGGTGCATCTTTTCCCTTTTGAGCAGAGAAAAACAGGTAACTTTCATGAAGAGGGGAAAAAAGTTGCCCAGTAGACAAATCATATGAATAAATGTTTTTATCTGGATTCAGTTCCATCAGCCCCTGCAACTGAACAGGGTGCTAAATAATCTCATCTAGGCTTCCTTTCCCACAAAAGGTTGGATCAGGTGATCTTTTGAGGTCCCTTTCAACCTGGGCTGTTCTACTGTTTTAAAAATCTGGTCGATGAATGCCCTGGTATTTATAAAGAGTGTTCTGCATTGTATTTGTGTAAGGTGTGTATTTCCTGTTCATTTCAATAAATGGCCTTTTTGAAACACTATAACAAAATGAAACACTAGATGACAGTTTGCCAAGCACTAATAACTCATGCAGCTTGACGCTAAATCTGATTACAAATGTGTTTATTGTAAGAGCTGTACGTGGACAAATGCTAATTCACCATGCAATATCTTTTAAGCTGCTTCCAGGTTGGGAGGACTTAAATATTTCTCTAAGGTCCATTGACAAATTTCCTGCCAGGATTTAAATAGTCTGTGTACCTCACAAAAACTGGTCAGTGGCCAACTGTACCAGTTGATAAACTGCTTGTAAATTGCCAGCACAGTGTTTAAAGGTGATATTTTAAGGCAAGGAAAGACATAAAGCACCGAGTTTCAAAATAGGTGCTATCTTTAATAGCAAAGAAGTGTGCAGGAGAGGAATGCACCTCCTAGATTTTAACAATTTCAAAGGGAACAACCTGAGAATACTATCTCATCACCACCACTGATACTAATTAGAGATAAATGTTTTTCTATGAGGAGTGTACAATCTCCTGACTTATTAAGACTCTTAAAAGATATCTGTAGCAGATATAAGGGAACTTCACAGATAGGTAAACACTTCCATTACATGTACTAGAAAGATTGCATTGATGTCTTCCTCCTCCTGAAGTCATTTCAGCTGTTGGAAATATTGAGAAAGTGTGTAAAAACAGGCCTGTTCCCTGCCTGCAGCCAGTTACTCTCCTTTCCTTGCTCACTGATGTAGGCTCTAATACAATGAATAAATCATTAGGTGTTCTGAAGAACAGTGGTGGTACAAACCCAGGAGACTCAAGAAAGCAGATGTTTAACTTCCTTTGCATTAATGCTCCAAACCCATAGAGTGGTAGATAATTCAGTATTCTCATCACTTATTTTCTTTTCTGATTTCTTGACACCACCAGCTGCCAATCTCTAGGAAAAGAATCAAGTAAGGGGGAACTACTTTGCTTTAGGTATGAATGCAACATAATTTCTTACAAATCAATGGGGCAACAAGTTGGTGGTGTTGATGGTAACAGTTGGCAGTCACAGTTCACTGCAGATATTACATAAATGACCGCAAAAAAGTCTTCAAAGCAGGTACTTGAATTCTGCTTTTTAGAAGCTGCTTCTGCAGCCATGCTTTGCAGGCAACAGTAACTACAGATCTAAGTAGCCTGGGGATAAGTCAGCTGCATTCATTCTTCCTGCTCCAGTGGAGATCGAGCATAAATAGTAGCTCAAACAGTAATAGATAAATGGCAACAGAAAGAGTTTTAAATTCTGATGAGAAGGTTGTATTCTGTTCAATTACATATGCCTTCCAATCAACTCTACATAAAAGGCTTGCTTCCCCTACATGTGATGTTCCATTACAGCCACAAGCAGGAAGCATCCTTAAGCACATCTTAGGAATACAACCTGATGCAAGAACACAGCCATTCTGCTGCCTTCCTCCTACCTGAGCCACGCCAACACCACTTGACACTTGTTGCCACGTTGGTATGAATCTTAAATACTTTTCCCTTATCAAAACCTGGGTACTAGAAACCTGTGTTTTTCATCCTGGAACGTTAGCTACTTCCAAAAGCAGATTATGAAAGTTACAAAACCACTGAAAATTCATTTGAGGCTTGTATTTCAAGATATTTTTACAGACTCATGGAGACCCAAGTCAGCAAAACCAGTGGCTATGGCAAATTCCAAATCCTTTTCCTAGCAGCTTTAGACTGGAGGCAGAGTGAGAAAAGGAAAATAATAAGGAGAACCATGTCCCTTCCTCTACCTGAATGAGTTGTTTGTTATGAAATGTATGTCTTTACGCTGCCCTAAGCAGAAGGCTTACTAAGGGGCAAGGAATGTAAAACAACTCTGCAGGAATGTAACATTTTCTTGACCTCATAATTCCTATATAATACACAATCTCTGGGTTAAGATCTTCTCCTGAAGTTAAAATTTTACACTTCAGAACTTTTCCTAAGGTGTAGCTTATTTTAAGGTTATGATTTAATATTTAAATGTATCTCCACCAAGCTAATCTAAAAGCTTAATAGGAGTATTGTGTGGCATGGCAGCAACAGAAGCTTTTCCACAGTGGAGTGGGTACGTGAGGAACAAGGTGTTGCGAAATCTAGGCTCTGGAAAATACAACCGCTCACGAGCAAGTGCAAGGGATTACTGACCCTCTGGGAGCAAAGTAGGAGATCCATGTAAGCCCAGGCAGAGCAGTGATGAAAGGCAGCCCTGACCACCCTTTGCAAGGGCTACATATTTCAGGGTCCCACAAACTTTACCAGCTACCACACAGCTGACCAGAACTCAGCTGTTAGCAACCTTTTACCTTTCCTGCTAGGTGGAAATAATGCCTACCAGAAATGAAAGGCAATAAATGCAGAGTGGCTTTTATTTTCAGAAGAAACACAAGAGAAGTCTAATTTAAAATACAACCAGCCTTCAGTCAACTCCAGACAGCCAGAGAAACCAGACAGTGGCTACAGCTGCTTTACTGTGCCCATTTAAAATGGATGCACAGCTGATGGAGAGGTGCCTCAGATAACTCTCCCCAGTGTTTTAAATGCTTGGCTGTCCAGAGTTTTTTTAAGCAAACCCAAATGAACCAGTGGCTGCAAAGGGGTTCAACCTAACCCAATCTCAATCTTTGAAAACACCACAAAGCCAATGGAAGAAATATGTATGTTTGTTTGTGTGTGTGTGTGTGTGTGTGTGCAAGACAAATGGAAATTTGGGGGAAAAACTGCTGCCATCAACATCACATCTCTCCTCCTGACATCCATCCCAGCCATCAACTCTTAGAAAGAAGCAGGAGGTGATCCAGTTTTCTAAGACGAATGGATTGCAGACACCTATGTTCAAAAGCAACAGGCTGCATTAGGAAATGATGAATAAAAGGCCAAATGATTTTAGAGAAATCAAGAGAGACAAGCTAATCTTACTACCCTGGCAGATAAGCAGTCAGATGTCCTGTTTGCCATAATTAATAAGGCAACTTCACATCACCTAAACCACAGTGCTGACTTCAGTGATCCTTCTCTTTTCGCCAAAGAGGGATCAAAGGGACTGAAGAAGAAGCTGTCAGACTCCCCAGTGGTTGAAAGGCTCCCTAAACTATGTAAATAAAAAGCAGAGGTAAGGGACAGAAAAAGGACATGCTAACTCCCATTTCTCTTGTGAAAAACAAAGCTATATGCATAACTACTTGTTTCTGCTCAATAAAATGCTCATTTAGAGACCGCAAAACTGAAACACAAAAACAGCAACAAAAAAATACCAACCTGAGAATGCCTGAAAAAAACCTCATCGTTTTCACTTTCTTTGCTATAAAAAAAAAACAAAACAAAAAAAAAACAAACCAACATATTACAAACACAAAACCAGACTTGTCTTGTAACAAAAACAAGCAGGACTTCTGCACACAAGGGTTTTACATTCTTGCTACTCCTGCACACTCACTAATTCACACAGTAAAGGAAGGGACTCTGGGCTGCAGCACTTCAAGATGCTAAACTATGCATTTTTTGCTTCCTCTCAGGAGCTATTTGAGAACAATAGCATCATTTAATTCCAGGTTCAAATCAATACAACTATCCCAACAAATGTAACTGTTGAGGGAAACTGTCATCTCACATGAGCAAGGGTACAGGTGAGGCTGTGCAGCTCTCACAGAAGAGTGAAACACAAGGGAAAGGGCTGGATTCCCAACCCAGAGGCCAGGTAAGACAGGCCCTGCATTCCCGTGTGGAGCGTGCTGGCTCAGGTGCTCCACAGCTGATTTCTTATCAAGTCTGCACCATCAGCACCGTCAGTGACATTCCTATCAAGCTGGGAAAAGAGCCTTGGTGGCATGTGCTGCAGGGCAAAGCCCACACAACACACAGCCTCCATGAAGCTCTGCTTGGAAATTAACATGGTGGGTAATCTGTTCTGTGGCATACGTGTCACCCCCACAGGCTGGGTGGGAGATCTCTCAGGCTGTACTACAACCACAGGGAAAGGAAAACATATATATACATAAAAAAAAATTAAAATCACCTTTCTTCAGGTAAAATTTCCATGTCATCAGGTCCTGTTCTGTCTACAGGCTTGGAGGAGCTAAAGCTTTCCATACTCTGCAATACAGTAAATATTAAAGCAGTAAGACATACATGAGAAACAGATTCAAGCTTCAAGCCATTAAACAGATCAAATACAGAAATATCCAACAGGATTTCTAGGAAAAAGGTAACATTCACACTACTGTCCACTGCACTAAATAAACCCCACGCTTTACTGCCGATAAACTGCAAGGAATCCCAACTGCTCACTGCTTCTTCTCTTTCATCAGAGGACCTCAAAACGTCAGAACAGAATAATGCTGCATGGTACCCCACCAGCTCCAGTTTTACAGACTGACAACCTAGGCTTGGGAGCAGTTCTCTGGTTTGTGCAACTCCTGTAAGAGCAGGTAGCAAAGTCCGCAGCAACTTCTCAGCAGAACTCCTTATGTTCATGTTAGAAAATCCTCCACTTCTCAGCCAAACCCTTCCTTAGTTTCTTCTTAAATAGGCATAAGAATGCAGAGACTGCATAGATGTAATGCTGGTGACACAGGTCAGTCATTCCAGCCTTGCCTAATTTGATTTTTCAAGTCCTACTGATACCTGGCTACTGTGTCCCTAAAATGCAGTTACAAGCTTTTAATGCTTTGTGGTTGGCTTGCTTGGGAGTCTAAGTGGAACTGACAGTTTCTCCACCGCTGACTTGTGCTTTTGAGCCAGATGCAATCAGACAGCTAAGAGGAAAGCCTCCACACATTGTCCTACATACTCTTCCAGGCTTTGAAAAAAAGGAATACTGAGAAAAGGGCGTTAAAGGAGAGAAAACATCGCAAACTTGTTTACATGACAAAGGCCTATTAATAAATGCTAAGGTGCGTGTTATGTTATACTCCAAGTAGGTAGTCTAATTGGGGTTATTATTTGATGTGTAAAGGCGTAGCCAAAAGAAAGCTAAACCATCACACATCCTTCTGTCAGTCTCTGAAATGCAAGGATGTAATAAACATACTCATTAAAACTTAAAAAGCAGCTTCTGCTCTTCCAAAACAATAGCACCACGCTCTCTGCTAGATGTTGCATAATGATACTTGCAGCTGATCATCCCTCTCTGACATTTCCTGTAGCAGAGTAAGCGAGAACCACACTGCTGGTCATCTTGGTCAAAGTGCTTTTAAAACAAGATTAGTTCATTTTACATTCCTTTCATCCTCTGCCCTTCAAGAGATCCGAAAATGAGGGGCAGGGTAAAGTCCAGTAGACACAGCTAAGTTTGAGGACATTTGTTCCGGGCACATTTGAAGATTTCATGAATGCTTTTCAGGTCCACAGCAAAAGTGGACTCTTCTGTCAGTACTTCCTTTCCTACCTCATGGGAAAAATTCTCATTTACATTGAAATTGCTTTACACTCCACAGGTACAGAGAAAAGGTGATGAAAAGATCATAAGCACTAGACCTTTGCCTATCTTAAAGTGCATTGCTACAAGCAAAGACAGAAGTGTGAATGTGTCTGTCTCATTCTGCTTTCATGAAGTATCACATGAGAAGATTGTGGATATTGAGCACTAAATTTAAGTTGCTAAATTGAGCACAGTGTACAATTTTTGGCATCTTGCCTTCTTTTGATCTTAACGAAAAGCAAATCCACCTCTCTAGAATCTCTGCACTGGGTAAGAACATCAGATCATTCCAATTTTGTGATCTAAACAAAATGAGTCCAAACACAAGGTCACATTAAGAACTTGCTTTCAGCAGGCTCTAAAACTTAATCAAGCACCAATGAAGGAAATGCCCTGTAGCTCAGGACAGTGTTTTCACACACTCTTGCTGGTCCTGTTAACCATGCAATGCATGCTTGGTGCAGGCACAGCACTTCTGCTACTGCACACAATCCCTGCGCTCAAGCACAGTGCAGTTTCTCAGCTGCTGACACTCCAGCCACTGTTTGCCTGAGAGGGAAGAAGGGTGAACCAGTTTTATACTGCACCTTGTAGAAGTAGGCAAACTTTCCTCTACTGCACAGGTCACATGAGAACATGCTGGAAAAGTTCTACAGTATTCCAGATTTTATATAACATTATAACAAAGTCATTGATGTCTTCAGTAAAAGGTGGATAGAGGGATCTTCTTTTGTACCAACACACTTCCAAGTGCTTTCCAAATTTGCAAGCAGCACAGTAAAACACAGACTTTAGAGAAAAGGCATAAAATACTTTTGCCATCTCATTATCAAGTAGTCACTTGAAATCTAGTTTTAGAACTTAGCAGGAATATGAAAATAAACTTGACCTGAATATGAGAACCTACATCTAAGGGTTCCAAACTCCTTGCAAGGCTTCTGAAAGACTGGGAAAATGACCTTTTATGCTTTCCAAAAAGCTTCACCAAATTCAAAAGAGAAAAGCATAAAGTTGTAGAAAGAGAAAATGACTGCACATGGAGTATCATAGCAGAAACGTGGCTTCTCAGTTGCCTCATCACAAGGGTCGCAAGTGTTGGATCCAGTGCTTCCCATGGTCCAAAACAGGCACTGAGGCCTGTACTGCAAGCAAAAATGGCTACCTAAAGGAACCAGATGTGCACTGAAATAAAAAAAGAGGTTTTCCCATCCTAGTAACAGACATCAAAGAGCGCAGTGTGCTGGCTTACCACAGGACTGTCCTGGTTGTCATTAAGCTCTGAGAGCTTGGTGCTGGATTTCTGCCGTTTTGATTTATTCCTTTCACTAAGGTATCCGGAACTGGTGTCTTGCAATTTTTCTACATCTTGAGCTGCTAGAATACAATCTTCAAGACTGCTGAATCCAGAGGGAATGTTTTCCTTGTTGACAACTTCCCTAAAAAGAAAAGGGACATTACAGCAAGAGGTTGTTTAAAACACTCTCTTGCTACACTTTTGGTAGCAATAGAGAATTACATCACACTGATTGGTGCAGTTCCAGCAACATCATCTATTCCCTATGAAACCACTATCTCAGGTTCTTCCCAATGCAGCCAAAAACACACACTGTGCAATGCTAAATCCCACTGAGGAGCAAAAGCCAATTGTATACAGCTCAGGTGAGAAAGCTGTGAGGATCCATGTTTGGAATTTGATTCACTTGCTGGTAAACCAAACACACGGAAGCCTTCACATGGAAGCTGGACTAGCCCCTGACTGCCTGTGGAATTTTTATATAGAGTATGAAGCATATTTTCCTTTGAGACGTGTGCTTTTAATTTAGAAAAGTGATTCACAGCTGCAGTCCAGGGATCTCCTTTTGCTGCATGACACAGCATAATTTGCCCTCTTACTCATAACTCTCAAATGCAAGAGCAGGACAGTGGTGATTTAGCTAAATGCTTGATTTCTATTTGGGAATTACACAAAACATAAAAGGGAATGTACCTCTGCAATGGTAACACAGCTGCTAGGACAGAGGACTCTTTTGCCATGTTGGGAAGAGAATGGGACAGCCAGCCCTAAGTCATTGCATGATGCACTCGCTGGGACTCTCGGGGCTTGCAGGGTTTGTGTATGTTTACCAGAAGCCTGGCATATGGCTTATCTTGGCCTCTTGAATCCTTCAGCAGGCAGCTTTCCGTTTACCACTTGTTAAGTAGTGTTCCCTCTACTCTGCCCAGCAGTGAAGTTGCATGTACACATCACTACACATGAGAACAGGAGAAAGACAAGGCATCTCGTTATCCTGCCAGAGGCTAAAGGCAGCTTGCTTACACCTGACACTGAAACTGGAGTATTTTCTAACTTCTGTGTGGCTGCCTTACACAGTGCAGTGCAGCTCCAAAGCCTGCTTTCACGAACAGCAGAAGTCATCTAGACATAAGAAACCAGTTACTCTGCAGTATCTGGACAGTGCCAGCACAGCAAGTATTCAGAACAAATATAAAACAAGAAGGTTCCAGTGACTTTCTAGATGACAGATCTCAGTTTTGTTGGTGGAAAAGAGATACAAAGAGGTATGATAAATCTCTGACTAAGCTTCTAAGATAACACATTTGCCTTTGTGGAAGTTTTTACAAACCCTTCAGCAGGCCAATTACACATTCAGAGCCTGTAGATCATGTAATCTTCAAAGCCTGGGAATTCACCTATGTGATTTTGTGATAAACACTCTTCCTGCCTGTAGTCACACTTTGTGACATTACAAATCCTCTTGTGATCCATCACAAGGCAAGGAGATGAACTCACTGACAATCAAAAAAACAACAGAAATATGTTTTGGAAGAAATTCTCAATTTTGATAATTTACCCAGAGAAATCCCAGCAATCTGATCTAAGGGAACCAGGGAAAACAATCTGGACCATAACCAGCATTCAAAACTTCCAATGTGCTTTAAACCCTTGTCTCCAGCTTTCTGGACCGAGCCTGAATAACTCATATCTAGAGGCAGCTCTGTAACACAGCGCTGAAGAAAAGCCCCGCAGTACGATATGCTTCCAAACACGTACACTAGCCAGTGCCTGACCTACTTACCTGAGAAGCCTGTCAGCAGGGCTACTTAACAAGAAAAACTACTTTAGAGCTGCTGCCAGATACTTTGGTGACTTGCAAGTGCCAGTTTCCCAGGCCACCTTTACAGTGTATTTTGATTCATTATGAAACTGGTGCCTTTTTTTTTTTCCTTTTTGGTAACTACAGTTTTTTTTTGTACAACAGCAGCACTGACACATTTTGGGAAATACCACGGATGCAATATTAACATCAGGTAGTGAAGTCTATACACCTGCATAAAAGTAGCTTCATTTAAGAAGGTACAAATCCAATAGAATTTGGGGAATTTAGCACCCAGGAAACAACAGGAGACTAGATGTTTATTCTGGAATCAGCTTCAAATCCTAGCAATCCAATACTGCAGTGAGGCATACACATTCTTTACAAGAACTAGTGCTGTGTTACAGATAAACACAAGTTGAAGGCGGCCTTGCAAAGTCTGTGCTACAGTTTCTCAAATACAGCTATGCCTTGTGTAACAAGTTTGTTAAAGCTGTGGTAGTAATACATTTGTACCACACAATATATGTCACAACTAGAGGAGTATGAATGGAAAAACAGGTATTATCTTTACTCTTTGACAAACATTTAATGAAATTCACTACTAAGTCATGTTTAAACTTCGTGTAATAGGGTGGATAAAAAAAATAATCTTAGATTCTGATTAATCAAAAGGAAGATTTTTCTCATTTCAGACAAACTCACAAGTCTCCTCACTAAACCCAAACACAAGCTGTGCCTCCACACACAAAAGAAGAACTTAATCTCATTTTTGAAGACATTCTGAATTCAGAAAAGCAGCTGAGCCCAATGTTTTTATCTAAAAAAAGTTAAAGGCAGCAGAGCCAACTGCTTGGGAATTTCCACTCATGCAGCAAATACTGTAAGTAACCAATTCCAAATCCTGTAATTAAAAACTTGACTGCATAACCCCCCTAGATTCTAGTAAACTCTCAACTTCCCAGCTCTGTCTGATGCAATGGAGCTCTGCACAGGCACTGCAGTCTGCTTTGCACTTTCAGTTCAGGGCAAAGGTCAGTGCCTTTCATAACAGAACGCAGCATTGCTTTGATAAAAAGACATGACTGGGGTAGACTTAAATATACTTTCCAAAACAAAGAAATCAGGCTCATACATGTCTCTGTTTCTCCGGGCTTCCTCCTGCTCTTTGAGGTGTCGCCTCCTCTGCCTGGCAGACACATTAGAAGAGGCTGAAGATGTCCCGGATTCAGAGTCCTCTGAACTCTGGCCGCCTGAGCCATGAACATCAAAGAGATGCTGCTCCACGGCTGAGCGGATTGTCTTCTCTAAATACCTGTCAAGCCGAAAAATAAGGTCAATTGAGCTCAAAGACTTTGTGGAGCTCCCTCTCTGCAACAATAAATAAAACAAGGGTATCTGTGGGTTATGTTTTTTTTAGGATGGCAGGACAGAATGTTCCAGCGCTACGATGTATGCAAAGAGCAATGCCAAAATCTTCAGATACCCACTGGTTCAAGTACCTCAGAATAGCTGCTGAGCCTTCCCAATTAATATGGCTCTTTTTTCTTTTTAGTGATATCTGAAACTTCAGAAAAACAACTAATTTTACTAACTGCAACTACAGACATTGGAGCCTAATTTTCATCCTCCACTTACAAGCCCCTGCTGTGACAAAATTGCATTTGATACCCAGCCATGCTGACAGTGGTCAAGTCTGTTGTGCAAAACAAGCTCAGTAAGGCAATGGATCACTTTCAAGAAGATGATTCACTGCTGTCTCACAGAGGGATGACAATATGCAGTAGCTCACTATGAACTCCTCACATACGTTGTGACCAAGCATGGGTTTTGTTCTCAATTCATGCCATTGTCACATACATTCTTGGGCCATATCCTTGTGTACCCACAGCCACACTAATACTGGTGTGAGACCACCCTCACACTCAGTGGCACCAAGAGGGCTTCCACACAAGCCAGCACATGGGAGCCCCTGCAGCTGCATCAGTTAAAGATGTGGGACTACTTGAACTTTCAACACAAGCAAATTTTCATTTTGGTACTGCCATTCTCTTGTGATATTTCCTTCCTTCCCTCATCAGAGGAAGTTTTTATTGGAAAAATATATATATTATTTTAAAGAGATCATACAGAAACATATTTTTGTGTACATCTAAGCAGTCGTTGAAGAATGGGTTTTTCAAACACACATGTCCAAAGTCCACGTATGACTTCTACTGTTTCTTCCATAATTAAAATGTTTTTTCAGGATTTGCTGGTTGATTTTCAACTGAGTAGCTACAGCATGGGAATCTGTGCTTGGGCTGATTTCTCCTCTACAAAAGCTCTGCTAAGTTGCTGTACTTGAAAGCCTGATGAGACTACAGTTCCTGGAAAAGTCAGAAGACCTTAGCAACTGCAAAAGCCCAGATTGTTTAACTAGGCAAGTATGTCTGTATTTCACTGTTGACAAAGATAAGTTCTGCAAACCCATCAGCCATTGGGAATTCCCAGCTCTGGCAAAGGAGCCAACTCATTTTAGCTCTGCTCCTCCCAGTTACAGCAGTAGGGTCAAGTCACGTCCTCTGCTGGGAGCAAACAAGAGCAAGAAGATGACACAGTGCAAAAAGCTTCTCAAAATATGCAAGCTCTGCCTAAGCAAAACATCACAGGCACATTGAGCAAAGAACCAAGGGCCTGAGAAGTTTTCAGGAGGAAGTGATTTATTACCATTGTAGATTAATTGCTTTGGGAAACACTGTCTCTTTTTTTTGTTTATGTAAGAACAACTCTTAAAGAGAAATCAAATAATAACCAGCAATACTTTAAAAAGCTCCAAGAAAGATAGCTACAAAATTGTAAAAGACACTTACTCTCCCGTAGCAGGAACGTTGCTACTGACTTGTGATACGTGGGTACTGTATAAAAGAGAAAAAGAGAAGAAATTTAGTTCTTGTTATCAAAATAAGGTCTTAAAACCTCTTGCTCTTTGCAGCGCTAAGATTTAAAGGTCTGTCTCAACAACAACTGTGTACACATCACAGCTTTTCCCCCTAAGGAATTTTCGCTCCCACTCTGACGTGGCACATTTTGACAAGTCAATATCCACAACAATTAATTTCCCTGTTATTCCCATGCAATAGGCAAAGGTCTAACAGTAAGTATTTCAACCTCAACATATTACAGATTTTTTGCTTTCCTGTGGGCTTTGTGTTGATGATGTTTTAGCTTCATCACAGAAGTCTTTGTCTTTTGAAGCTGACTTGAAAATGTATACCCTTAATATTTAACTGCTCTCTCTGTTTAACTGTTCTCTCTTGGAACATGTTCAAATAACATATTCACAATCTTTGCTTCACATTTTAAAAAATAAAATCTATGCATGCTTCTCTCCTTTTCACCTCGGTCTGTTATCAGGCTCAGGAAGAGCTGACACAAATACAGATGTTATCAGTTGCTGCTCAGAACTCTTCTGAACAAGCTGACCTGGCACAAGTGGCACTGCTTTCTTCCGTCTGCCAAACTGAGTCCATCCTGCCCCTTTTTCACCCACTGACTCAGCCTTACAGATAAGGTGACACTACCTATTCATCCCTCCTGCAACCTCCCTTATGCCAAATAAACTACAGGCCTGGGGGTTTCATTTCAAATTATCCCCGCATCAGCACGGTACAACTGGCTGATAAATCCCAGTAAAACGTGGTTAGGGTACAAAAGCCAAGCTGGATGCAAGATGTTCTTCCTGCCAAAATAACCATTCATTGTTTTCAGTCTGCACCAGTTTCTCTTAAATAATTTCTCCACAGATCCATCAACAGCTGATTTGCCTTCCTTCTCTACCCAAAGGTTTCCTCTCTGTTTCCCTTCAATACTTTGCACTTCACTGTATGGGGCTAGAGCTAGCTAAGAAGCTGCAGCACTCTCAAGATAACCACACTCTGGCTTTCCTGGGTTTGAGACTCACTTGGGCAGAAGGCAGGCAACAGAGGAAGAGAAGGATAAATGAGGGATCACTACAGCTAATTTAAGAAAACCAACAAACCTGCGCGGCTCCTCCCCACAAACACCCAGCTGCAAATTACACTTGCAATGTACTTCAGGCTGAGCCGGTGTGTTCACCTGGGGTCTGACCACACACACATGCTTTCCAGTCCCAGCTTCACTCAGTGCTACTCTCCAGTCCCAGCACAGGTCACCAGAGTGGTGGCACACCAGGACAGCAGTCCCGGACTTGCCAGTATGTCCCGTATTACCTGCGCAGGACCTGAGCAGTTGTGTCACTCATAACTTCATGAAGACACACAAACAACTACTACTGTACCTATCATTACAGATAAAATATCTGCAAACAGGAAACAAAAGTTGCAAGATCACACTCTTCCCACATCTAATATCTTGACTAACAACTACAGGATGGTGCTGGACTTTGAAGTGCACATTTCAAGCACCCTACTTGCTTTCCTGTTTGCTTACAGGAACTATGTGACCTCTTCCCAGCCCAAAACTATTTTTTAAAACCTGGTCTCCCATGGAGACATATTAGCAAGTAAGGTGCTAGTGTGGTAAGCTAACCCACATTATAAGCTAAAATTCATGTGCTTACTACAGTTCCATGGGAGTAGATTAATGCTGTATCACCTTTTTATAGTACCTACATACAAGCCAAACTTAGTGAGGTTGTCTTTCATAGCACATTTTTCTTTTCTGTTTTCATGCTAGGAAAGTGGTAGTGGAGAGGAAGAAAGGATTGTTTGGTTTTAGCTTTTTTAAAACATTCCTAGGATGTAGGTTTTTCTACCAACAGATTATTTTCTAACACCCCAGTATATTCTGAAGTTGTCTAACTACAAGAATGTGTTAACTGTGTGCTTTACTAACACCAATTCAGATTTAAGTACATTAACCTGATTACTTTTTAATGATGTGTAACAATTAATTTACTGTATCTAGAAAAGCCTATTCAGGCAATACAGATTCTGTAAGACAGTAACATGGTGATTTTCAAACTACTGACAAATAACAAGGAAGTACATATCCATTACATGCCAGCTGAGTGGATGACTACAAAATGAAGCTATGACATTCTGATTTTATTGTACTGAATCCAAGTTTATCCTTAACTCTGTGATAACTTAATGCTCTTTTACTAGCCCCCCTCTCAGTAAGACAGAGATTTTAAATCAGAGATTTTCTAGATATACTACCCTCTTTTTAATTCCACATCTGGTAATTTTTCTGGCTATTTCATTTTGAAGCTTAATTTAAATGTGTTGCTAAATTGCCTTACTTACTCTCCACCAACCTTTCTTACACCAAAGAACTTCACAACCAAAACAAATGGTGGAGGGAAGAGTTACACAGCAGTTTTAGGATTCGAGCCTGCTGCAGGACAGACCAGGTGGTGTAAGAGCTCCTTGGCAAACCCAGGCAAAGACACCACCCTGCAAGGATTTCAGAGCCCAGACAAGCAACCAGGCAGGTAGGGTGTATCCTGCGGGGTTTTCCAAACATCTTGGGTGGCAGAAGTCGCTCTGCTGTTGGATTTATGTGGAGCAGGCAAGGCAAGCCATGCCTAGAAAAGCTCTCTTGGCATGCCTGCCTGTGCAGGCAGCTTCCTTGCTCAGTAAATCATCCAGACAATGGGAACTCATGTTCTGCTTCCAATTTCAATTCCTCACATCTGCTCCATTTCACTGATACGTATGGTCAATTATCTCCACAGCTAGATTATCTTTATTAGATTATGCAGCTGCTGTTGCAGAGCACACTGAGAAATACTGACTTCTCATAGAAATTACAGGTTCTCCTCAGGTGACTGAAGGCAGCAGGACAGCCTCCCAGCACTGGGGGACTTTTACTTTCAGAAAGTCAGCCAGAAAACCTGCATAAAGGGACACAACTGTTTTAAGTGCTATGAACTTTTGAACTGGTTTCTTATGACCCTCATGCTTTTCCTTTTGGGAAGTCTGACCTCTAGCACTTCCCAGTTTTGTCTAACTTGTTTACCCAAGTCTTTTGCTCCCTTCCAGAGGTGCTCTATCAGCTCTGGATAATGTCTTACTTCACACGTAAGGCAAACTCTTACTGCATGGTCTCCTTTCTTCTGTTTCCACCTCAAGGACGAGAAGGTGGTATTTTCTATTGCCATTAAATCTCACCTGCCTCCCCTAACTAGTACTCCCTAAATTTAGAAGATGTGCACTTGAGTGAGAATTATGTCATGCAATGCCTGCACCTTGTTAGGTCTGTGTTGGGCATCTTGTGGTAGCAAATGTTGGATATCAATGAGTTGGTTATCAATGCCCCTGCTCCTGATTTCTTTCATTCAAGCCACTATTGAGCAAAATATTTTAGCATCTAGACAAAAAGAGTAAAGAAAAAACATCAAACAGAGCAAATCAGGAAACTGACATGCTGGCATAGTGTTTTCCCAGATGGGTGTTTATTAATGAAGTAATTTAATTAATTCTAATATCTAATGGCCTAATTCATAAGCTATACTTGCAGTCCAGTACTAAAGAAGTCACCTTTTGCTGAGATGTATTTATAGGCCATCTGCTTTATTCAGGAAGCAAAGCTGGCTCTTGTTCTTGTTTTTGTTTTTTTTAAAAGCTGAGCACAACAATAAGAAAGCCTCAATAGATGCAAAAACTTTTTACCATTCTGCTATTCCAGCAAAGCTGAGGATGTTTAAATGGCTTTGACACGACAGATGGGAAATTCCTGAAGTCCTCTGAATATAGTATTTCAATCCCTGATCCAGGAAGTTCCTATTCACAGGTATTTATATGGTCTAAATGCTATCCACTCTCCACACTATGACATGCAATACTCCAAACTCACGTGGGATCCATTTTATGACAACTACCTTATTTGACACACTTGCATCAAAGAGAAGTGTTGTGATGGCATACAAAATGTGAAAATAATGAGTTTAAAAACAAAAGGGGTGTGCTCATAGTTACTGGGATGTCCTGTCACACAGAGGACATGCTTTCATTGTTTTTCTCAGCACCTTCACACTTTTCATAAGCTCAGATCCAATTATCCCTTCTTTTAAACATGGTAAATTATTTTTTACACTACTTTGTTACTACACATAAAACTAACCCCGCTAAAAGCAACTTTATTCAGGATTCCTAATGTTTTGCACTTGCACATCCTTCATGACAGATGCACACTGACACCTACAGCTTGGAGCAGAGACAGCCCTGCAGGGGATTCATAGAGGCCATGAGATTCAGCTTGGTGAATTTGTGTCTGTGCAGGCTCACCTGCAGAGCAAGGAAATAATCCTCAGGGAGCCTCAGACTTGCATGGCAGCAGGGCACCCAGAGCAGGGACACTGGTGGCCTGGTGTTTACTTTCAGCCAGTGCAGGTGTGATGGACATGAGCACACCTCACATAATGTAATCTTGATTTGTGAGGGGGCCCAGCACTCTTGTGGACTTATGACCTCCTATGGCACGTCCCATGGAGGGAGAAGTGTTCAGTGTGAAGGTGGTCAAGCAAATTTCTGAGCAGGTGTGAAATCCAGAGCAAAGTTTTCCGGTTTCTTCAGGAAACTGACCTGAGAACAAAGAGCATAAAACATCCTACCCAATAGACTTGAGAGTAGGAATAGCTGACCTGCATTATTTAAAGAGCTGTCTCAAATAAAAACTGTTAAAAGGAGAAACAGTTGTACTGAATAATGCCCACAGGAGTACTTCTAGGAGAAGAACCAGGCAAAACTGTCCAATGTCTCGCCCTGCACCCATGGGTATTTAATACAATCTTTGGCACTCCTTGTGATGTCAGGTCTCATCGCAATTTCAGTTTAATGCTCTGCATGCTAACAAGGAAGCTCCACACTACAAAGCTTTTGCTTTCCTCCCTTGTAATATCACTCTCACTTATCTCAGGATGTACCCATCAGGGAGCTCCTCTGAAAGCATCTACATGACTAATGTCACATAGGCCAGCAGAAAGCATGCCTGAAGATTCCCTGTCTTCTGAAAACTCATTGCACACGTGGAGTGGAATTGTGCTTACAGGGACTTGCTGCTGCCAAGTCCTCATTACCTGACACTGCAGAGAGTTTCTCAGCACTGATTACTCAAAGCAGCTGGTATTCACAGTCTCACTAAAGACATACAAGGAGCAGTACAAGAAGCTCTTTTAAAGATCTCAACTCCCTTTACCACAAGGTTTGTTACAAAAGGTTTTGGAATGTAAACACCCTTCAGGCATGACTCCCTGGAACAGTCAATCACCTAGTGAGGTTTTCCTCTTCTTTTAACACTATAGAAATCTTTTTGCCTGGTACTGAGCACAGCTGAGCCAACAGATCATCTAATCAAGGACTACAGAGAGGGAGAGTATAACTCTGGTCAGCAGTAGGTGAATAGATTCAAACCCCAGGTCTCTCAGTCTGGTCAAGCTGACATCATCCTTATTATGTCCAATGAGAGAGGGCTCCAGGTACAAAATTACTGATTTTCTGCTCAAATATATTAATAAACTATTTGTACACATTCTCTCTTGCATCAGTATTGTTACTCAACATAAACATCCTCTCCTCCCTGTCTAAAACTCAGAGGGAATATGTGTGCTCAGTTTCATGTCTTACAGTAGCTAGAACCTCCATGCTCTTTTCTCCATCTTATAACAGTCTTCCCACTTCTTTAATGATCTTTACAAACCTAAAGCCATTGGAACACAGGTGACTTGAAACTGTATAAGGCTTCACCTGTCTCTTGTATAGGGGTATTCATACTTCTAAGCGTACTGAAAATACATCTTTTATATATCCACTGTCATGTGATTACTTCAACTTGAGTATTTTCATCCCATGCCTCCCTTTAATCCCTCCATGAACAAGTATGTTCACATCTTTTTTTCCCTGGCATTTCCAAATGTGAGGAACTCCCCTTTCAGGGCAAAGATTTTCTTTATTAGACCTCAGGTATATGATTTTCTTACTCATGTTATTATTTCTTATAGTATATGTCTTATATGTGATGCTTACCTTTATAAATATATATAAAAATATCTTTATATAAATATATATGACAGTGAGATATTTTATAAATATATCTATATATCTCACTCTATATAATATTTCACTGTCACATATTTTCTCCCAGAGGACACTACCAACCCATTCACCCTCCTAAATTTCTGCTATAATCTCAATTAATGAACATGATTTGACTTTATTATGCTAGTGGCTATTAAGGAAAAGAAGTTCATGGCACTTAAGGACCTCCAGCAGCAATCCCCTTCCTCTCCTACCAGCAATACCAGTAGGTCTCACCTCCCTCCTTTAAGTTCCAGTACTCATGTCCACTTTTTCCAGATAGATGGCCTGATATAAAACATTTTTCTGGCATCATACAGATTAGGTACAGTCCTTTTCTTCCTCTCTCTGGAAAGTCTTTTTTAAAAGAACCCGGCTGTACTGGTGTTGCCACACTTTACAAACCCATGTCACATTTTGTCTCATTTACTGATTACTGTCATACTGTTACAGACTGTTTATTCCCTTACAAAGTAGCAGTGGTGATAAAGTCTTGACTTTCCCAGTACTGAAAAAAGAAAAACCCCAATAAATCAGTGTTATTTTAAGAAACAGTATATTTATTGGTGACGTTCTGACAGTTCTGACTTAAAAGTCAGGAACTTCAGCATTTGTCTTATTGTTAACAGAAACCAGGGAAACATCTCCCTTGTTAGCTGACATGGTACAGCACTGAATAATCAAGTCTCTGATTTGATACTACCAAAACTGATTTACAAACGGTGTGCTGTTTTTTCCTGGGGTAGAGTTAATTTTCTCCCCAGTGGCTGGTATGTAGCTGTGGTCTGGATTTGTGCTGAACATAGGGTTGATAATATAGAGATGTTTGTGTTATTGCTGAGCAGGGCTTGCACAGAGCTAAGGCCTTTTCTGGTTTTCGTACTGGCAGGGAATTTAGAGGTGCATGGGAGGCTGGGAGGAGACACAGCCAGGCCAGGTACTATTCCATAGCCCATAGGATCATATTGACATCATGCTCAGTATACAGAGTCGGGGGGAAGAAAGAGGAAGATGGGGACGTTTGGAGTGATGGCATCTGTCTTCTCAAGTAATCATTACATGTGACAGGGCCCTGGTCTCTGGAGATGGCTGAACACCTTCCTGCCCACGGGAAGCACTGAATGAATTCCTTGTTCTGCTTTCCTTCTGTGCATGGCTCTTTCCTATTAACCTGCCTTTATCTCAACCATGAGTTTTCCAGCTTCTTACCATTCCAGTTCTCTACCAAATCCTGCCGGTGGGGGAGTGAAAGAAGCAGCTGGTTGCTGGCTGGGGTTGAACCACAACAGAGAGACGCAGTGTTCCTTCCGTCTGGCAAGAGCCAAGTATTATGCAGTGTTTGGAAGCTAAAGAGCTCTTGTTCACACTTACTTAACTTGTTGTGTAATTATCTATATGGAACTACTGCATAAACACAGCAGTGACCGCTCTGTGCCCAAATATTCATGATTCACTTGAAGGATTACTTGAGCAGTATTTCAAGCTATGTAAGTGTGGCTGGTAGCAATAGAAAGAGATTTGACCATCAGACAGCTAAAGCAGACAGTCTCCCCTTCCTTGCCCATGGTGTGAAATGCAATTCCTACGTATGCCATGCACAGCCTCTGGGGGCAACAAGTAGGACTTTCAAAGTTACACAGAAAAAACTGGCCACCCACTCAAGTTCTCAGTTGTTGAAGCACCAGGAATTGCCCAGCCAGCTCCAGCTCTCCTGCCAAATTAACTGCAATTGGCAACTGACCTCAGGAGGACACATTTCTGATGTGTTGCAAACAGAAGCAAGACTTACAAGCTGTTCCCTTTATTTACAAGTAACTGTATCCCAGCAATGTTACAAAAGACACTGGCTTGGCAGAAAGCCTGTATGTCAAGGTGCGCAGCTCCCTCTCCACTCCTACCAGCCATTTCTTCACTCCCCAGCTATGTGTTTACTCCTGACTGTTCCCTTCCTATTTGCAAAACAGATTCCCATGGAAACCCATCCCTTCATTTCAGTGGACACAATCATTTTTTGTTCTCCCCTCTCATAAGCCTACATCTCTATTTAAGATGTTCAAATTTGCTCCCTTCCTCTCAGAAATGTCCTGCTTTGGTATCAGTTTTCTTGGGTCCACTCCTTGCTCCCCATCTCTCCTTGGTGATCTTGACAAGGTCAGCCAAAGAGAATCTCCTTCATGGATCATTTTTCTATAATCCAGGAAAGGGCTTGGAAGAACACTTTTGAGCAGTAAGACAGATGGAAAAGCAATTAAACCCTAAAATCATTTGAAGGTCACTTTTAGCCAGAAAGAAAAACAAAGGGGTGGACAATTTTCAATGGAAAGACATGATGAAGATTTAAACTAGGGAAAATTTGAGACAGGGGAATGTATGTATGCAGCTACAAAATAATGTCCTGAAGGAAAAGGCAGAATCTCCTTTGACAATTTGGAGCTTCTGAGGCACAGACTAGGAAGCATCTGCACAAATAGATTGCAGGGAATGACAGTGCATCAACCCGCAGGCAGACAGGATCATGCAACCAGGCTAGTCCGTGAACAATTCCCTGACAGACATTTCTGCACAGTATGCATTAACTGCACTCTTTCTGCGATTCATGTTAGAAAAATTCTTTAAGAAAAAACCCAAGCTACAAAGATAAACAGGAATATACGCCAGAGATTAACAAATTTCAGACATCACTGTAAGAACTCCAATTATCACTGTTCTCACAAAAAGCACCACTGGGAGGTTTTTTTATTTGTTTAAACTCTGCAGAGATCAAAGAACCCAATTATAATATCTGGCCCTTCCTCCTCTGCAGCCCTTCATTGTTAATTGCTCTGGCTCCTGTTCTTCCACTAAGTATAAATGAAAGCACTGGAACTGAGCCTGCTACTGAAGCAAGCAGAGCAAACTTTCACAGATGTCAACAGAATTAGACCCCTTTTACAAGCAGTGACTTTGCCCTCCAGTTGGCAAAACAAGAAACAATTTGTTCAAATGCAGCATGAGCACCATTCCCTCCAGTGAGGCTTGCTGGATACCCAGGCACTCTCCTGCTTTTCTAGGCTGCAGCAGGGAACTGGATGGGCTGCTGACTCACCATCTGGTTCCTGGTTTCTTTCTGAGCAGCACATGCTGCCAGTTCCTCAAATCCTGTAGCAAAATCTCTTCTGTGCCTGCAGATAAGCTACTCAGGCATCTAAGACACATAACAAACCAAAGAAAGGAGGAAAACCACGTCCACCTTGTAATAAAGACCTTAAACCCTGGGCCTCCTCTCTAAATACAAAAGAATCGCAACAGAGATGGTATCTACAAAGACTCATCACACTAACCGAGCAATAATTACAAATATAAAATTGATGCTCACTTTGATTACAGTCTGTTCAGCACTTCTGAACCCCTCCCCACATTTAATTCCAATAATGAATCAATCCCACACAGAAAAATAAAGGAAAACAATGGAGTAAATACCTCACATAGAAGGGTGACATAGGCCGCTCATCTTCTTGGGAGCTAAAAACAAAACATATTTTCTAAGTTAGTAGCAGGTCTGTCTTGTATTTGCAGCTCAAGATACTCACTCTTAAAAGGCAGAGATAACAACAAAGCAAAACTGCACCCGTTACAGAGATAACACTTAAATCTATTTTGTCCTCTGGTTGACACATGGAAGAAAGTTTAAGTTACTTTCCTTAAATCCTGGCAATCCAACTCATTTCTCAATGTCCACAAATGTGGTGTAACAGACCTCCTGCTAGACAGCCAGGAGTCATTCTGACTCTGCAACAGTGCTAGGGCTATTCCCATAGCAACAATAAAGCATTTTGCAAGGAAAACCAAGAAAGTCCTTTGCTGTCTGCTGCTCTAGAATGAAACAATCCACCTATTAAAGCCAAACTTGGGAAAAAAACAAATGACATCTTGAGTAACCAAAGAAAGAGCCATGGCCATAGGTGTAAGCATGAGACTACCTATTCCCCAGTTTTATCACTCCTGTGGAAAGTTTATTTGAATAAAATTTCTGTAGTCCTGAGATCAGGGATTGCCACTGGCTGGCATGGGAGTTCCCTGACAAAATGTTTCGTTGTGTTTTAGTTGTCAACTGGCCTGGCCTCAGCCTGGCAAGTGACTTACTAGCCCAGATCCAGCTCATTGTGCCCGTGCTGGCACAAGGGTGACAATGAGCTGGGACACAGAATCACACATGATCTATTGAATTTTGAAGGATTGTATTTATTGGCTTATAAAAGCTGCTCAAAGCACTCGATAAAGAGGAAAGGAACATCTCTGCAGGATTTGTGACTAGGAAATCAAGTACTTGGGTACTTTCTGCAGCTTCCATTGGAGCCAGCATGAAGCTCCCTCAGCAATATGAGCTGATACTGGCCTGCAGCAGGTAAGGCACCCTTGTCCTCACACTGTACAGAGGCAGATTTAACCACAGCTTATTTCCAACCCAGCCAATGTCATAACAGACCCACAAATATGAACCCCAAATTCACTGAGGGGAGCAGAACATAAAGGAGAAGGCAAGATACAAGGGAGTCAAAAAGGCAGACTGACAGATAAGCCAGCGCTCCACAGAAATAATCACAGGGATTCAATCCCCCAACTAGAATATGGAAAGATTCACAAATAGACATCTACAGAAAAGACATTAAAGCACACGATGCATGAAACCAAATTTGAGGGTAACACCAAACACCACAGACCAGAAGGAAGAGAAACCGCTTCTGAAATCAATGTGGTCTGCCAAAAATTCATCACCTCTGTAAGACAACAGTGACTGCTTTCAGCAGCTCTCCAAGAAGACTGGGAGCACAGCTGCTACTGGAAACCTTGCTGCCACTTCCACAAGCCTGTCTTCAGTAGCCTGAACAGCTGCAGTGCCCAGAGCTGCTGCTGCTCCCAGCACCAGGCAGGACACAGAGCAGTGCACAGTGGGTGAAGAGTGCCTGCCTGTGAACTGGGGCTAACAGCACCTGAAGAGTCCTTGTGAGAAACTGCTACAGCTTCAAGACTGTAGAAAAAGTTGATGGAAATGATGGAAATGCCCATTACTGCCTTCCCTGAAGACAACCTGCAACAAAGACATGGGTAGGAACCTCTGCCAGGTAAGGCTCCCTCTGCTGATGGCATGTAGTGTCCCAGCCTGCATGCATGCTATCACTTTATTTGGCACTTACAGAATATATTTTTGTAAGTGTAAAGAAAGTACTTTAAACTCACAAAGCTGCTGGTGAAGTTTTTTGCTATGTTCAGTTCACTGTATTAATAGCTGTACTTGTACTCAATGCAAACAAGTCCAAGTAGTGGACAGAAAACATGAAAAATCTTTTCTGACATAAATGAAAGTTCACAGTGCCATCAAGATTTCTGTGCATTAATGCACCTTCAAATGACAACACCAAGTGCTGCTTTATGTACAAGTGGCAGCTACCAAAGCCACACCAAATATGCTTTCTTTCCCATCATAAACACCCCTCTTTATTTCAAGGTTTGTAATTAACTTCCAAATCAAAGCAGCACAATTGTACTGAAAGTCCAAATAATCTTTTACATTTATGATCCCAGTATTTGTTTTGACAGAGCAGATGGAAAAGTAGTATTCAGCAGGGACTGCATCATCTTCCATTTCCTTCCCTTTCTTCCACAGCAAGTGCAACTGGATGCTTCTTAAGTTCAAGCAAGTTTTCTAACCCTACAATAGTTTATCCACACATACAAAGAAATTGAGGAGAAACAAATATTTTAAGCCCATTAGCTGGCGATGGCAGAGAAAGAAGCTCATACGGAAGTCAGAAACCAAGTACCAGTTTCATTTAGATCATCAAGTTTCAAGATTTCACATGGTTGGTAATAATTGTAACTGTGAAAAACCTCTCTTACTCAATAGTGATTCATAGTTTTACATGTGCAGCAAATGAGCAGTAGCTGAATCTGGGATGAAGACCTCTAAGCTAACTAGTATGAAATCCAGACTTTTGAAAAAAAATAAAAATCTTCTAAATTTCTACCTTGTTCATCAACGAACTTATCCATTAGACAAACAGGCTTAGCAGTAAATTCAATTTTGGGGTTTTTTTTGTTTGGTTGGGATTTTTTTATCATCAAAGTTGTGCCCAGATTTATGTATACTCTATGTCCAGAAGGCATGAAATAACTTAAAAAAACTCCAGTCATTTATTCAACTATCACTGATTACCTGGCCAAGCAGGTGAGTGGAAAATACAGCAGTCTCTTTTTTTTCTCAAGCATATAAATAGCTCCCCTAAATCCAGGGATTAAACAGAAATTAATCACTTCCATGAAATACTTGGGAGATTACCTAACAACTTCCTTCTTGCTAAAAACCAGAACAAATACCAACCAAACTAAAACAAAACCAAAACAAACATAAAACCCCACAGCAAACCAAACTTGTTCTGTCTATTTCACAGGCAAAGAAGTAATATTATATATGTTTGTGATCGCTGTTGAGCTAATAAAAAGTTTGTCACACTGGAAGGAACACCAGTTTAGCCCACCAGTCAGTTTAGCACATCTTGGGATTTTCAGGCACATCCTTTATGTCCCTGAAGAAGGAAATAGGAAAGTCTGGGTGAAGTCTAATTGTTAAATGATGAATTTCCATTACAGAAGGAGAGTTATCAGTTTTTGCCTCCTTCTATGGCAATAGGAATGTTACAGGCAACGTTACATTCAACCCTCACATTCTTAAACAGGTAATCATGGGTTCTTTGGTTTTCTGACATCTCATAGGACCACAGAATCACTGAGGGTGAAAAAGACCTCTCAGATCAAGTCCAACCTTTAAATCATCTTGCCCTTCAGGCAAAGTAAGGGAACTGCTGGGCCTGTTGTAGAACACACATTTAGATGGAAAGTTCCCAATTTATTTAAGTGCATAAGGAATACCCCTGTCTCAGCCCTCTCCTCACTGGCCTGAGTTCCCACTGAGAGTCAGTGTGGCTCAGGGTCCTTCCTCCTCCTTGTTTTATTTGCACTGAATTAGCAGCAGTTCTTCTGTCTTAGCTTCCTGGAACTTCCATTACAAAGCTACTGCTGCTTTCCTACTCCACATCTCTTTTCAAAACTTAAATAGGATGTTTAGTCAATGAAATTAAAAAAAAATACTCTGGATTTTGGCTTTGGGGTTTTTTTGGCTGCATTGTTTTTGGGTTTTTTTTTTTTTTTACAATTATGAAAATGTACTTTGACTCATGGGTCAACATTTTGCACCGGAGATGAAGGGTTTAGACACTGGCAGGGTCTTCCTGCTCAGCCAAGGTCATGTTTTCCTAATGCCTTGGCCAGAGGCTCTGTTTGTTCTGACCTCAAATATTAGATAAGGGAACGGCTCACTTTCTATTCTACCACAGAAATCCTCGACTTCAAAAGAAGTACAGGGTTTTTTTAAGGGAGAACACTTTTTAATGCAAAGAAATAGCTGTTTTTGTTTTTAATGCAATCAAACAAAAAACAATGAAAAATTCAGTGACATCAAATTACTAATGATATCAAAAGTTAATGCAGGCTTTGGAGGGAGGAGAAGGAAGGCTAAGTTTGGCTGGCTTCTTAAAGTTTCAAACTTATCTCCCTCTTGTTTTCTTCTCATCATTCAGAACACCTATGCTTCCCTGGATTATGAGACATACAGTTTTTGCAACTACTGAGAATTTTAACAATATTGTTTATTTACTTATTAGGATATTCAACACCAAGAACACTAAAAACAGCTTTAAGGAAACATTGATTTTGAGGCCACAGTAGTGCTTTTTGCTGAAAGTCTCATCTTATTCACTAATTTTTCAGCACTTCTTCACCCACCCAAGTCATTTCCCCATAAAAGTTATTTCAATGTTCCAAAAAATGCAAGATTGAAACAGCTCATGAAAATTTATTGCATGCTTATTTTCTCAATAGAGCTATTTACTCATAGCTTGTGCTTCACAGCAGTGGGTAAAAGGCAATGTTTTTGCAAATGAGAAATAGCAGGCAACACAAGCTTTTGCCTTCAAATAAATCCTTCAAAATAAACTTCCTTCAAAGAAATATTGAGGTACATTATGCAAAAGAAGAATGAACAATACTATCCCTGATGCAAGATTAACCATAAATTTCATCTAACATCATAACACTGTGGTGATACAATGGTCATTATTAAAGTCAGGACCTACCCTCAATCCTTGAGCAATGCCACCCTTGCTCTATATCCTTAAACAGAGGGGGAGGAGGGAATGCTATATATGCACTGTTTAAAAAACAAATGCTTAACAGCTATTTTCCTGTGAGAGTTATTTCCATGCCAACATTTCCATTTTCCCTGAAGAATAACTTTAATAAGTCAAAACCATAACATGTTGTTTCAGATATTTATCTCCAGTCTTGACAATGGTTGTGCTTATACCTAACCATGCATACCACTGAAACTTAAATAAGCTACTCAGCAAATGAGTCACATGTCAAAATCCAAGGCTGACAACCCAGCTATTTCACTCTGAACTCAAGTA